CCTCCCTCCCTCTCCTCCCTCAAGGCCGTTTTTCTTGGACAGAGTCTGTCAACCCGGGCCTGCTGCACGACTTTGCTCCTGCCTGTTTGCAGTTCCTCGACGTGATTCCCAGAAAATTCCCGAGATGAACAAACTATGCATTTGACAGGATTTGCCTTGGAACTCTCCGTGTCCGGCTCCTTGGGAATCTTGCCGGGCGGGCATTCCGGAGTGTACTCCTCATCGATGATGAAGGGAAACTTGCATCCGCTCCTTCCCAACGGCCGTCAAAAAGGGGCTTCATGGCTCAGAGGAAAATGGGGGCTGTCTGCCGGATCCTGCCTGCTGGAAAATGTTGTAACCTCTGGTATGGTGGCAACAAAAACGTGTTTTTTGCCCCCACTAACGTGTTTTGTTGGCAGCCCCCCTACTAAGAATGAACAAACCAAAAACAGAAGAACCAAAGAAAGTTGCCAAGAACAGAGAAGATGACGTGCGCAGAGTAATAAAACCCCTTAAAGCCCTACGACCCCCTGGCAACCATTAGTGTTTTCGTTGGTTCTCCCAACCGAGCACCCGAAAGAAGCAACTGAACAAAGAGAATAAAGGCAGGGAAGACTGTCAAGGATCCCGTGTGAAACAACGAAAGTGAGGTATGCATGGTTTGATGTGCTTGGTGCTGGTCTCCCCATTAAACCCCCCAATTAAGCCCCTCCACAAACAAGCTCCTTGTTGGGACGAAGCAGTAGAATTACTTCAAGCAGGTCCAAGCTAAGCTGGGGTGCTGAACAGGATGACAGCTGTGATTATTTGTCTGAAGTCCTGAACAGGATGACAGCTGTGTTTATTCGTCTGTGCTTCTCGAAATGGAATGGTCCCCGCTTTGTTTTGGGACAGGAAGGGGAGCCTAAAGCAAACCCCGCCGCGCAGGAAATGGACCGCTTCCCCTTTTGGGACCAAGGCTAGGTGAGGTTGGAGTAAGGGTACCCTTCTTTCTGTAGTCTATTTTAGTAGGGGAACCATTCCCCCAAAAAAGAATAAAAGGGCACTACTGGGGGACCTGGAAGGGCTATGACAACGGCTGCACCCTGCGCAAGACGCAAGACGCAGCCGTAGAAAGCTGGGAGGCGACGGATCTCCTGCGGCCCTTCAGCCTCAGGCACTCTTCGTCGTCGATCTCCTCGAGCTCCCAGCGCACGCCCAGGTTCAAACTCCTCAACGGAGCGGACGCCTAGAAAGCTGGGAGGCTGGGAGGGGGGGGAAAACTCCGCCGGGGGTGCCCGAGATCTCCCACACCAAGAGGAAACTCCCAAAAAGTTGAACAAAGAGCCCAGAAAAAATAGATCCCTATACCACCGGAAAACTCTCCACAGAAGTGGCCACACATTGCATGCGTAAGAAGGATGAGTCCAATGGTCCAACCACATGGTCCAACCTCAGCTCAACGCTCCTCAGGACCTCCTCCACGTCCTTCTTCTCTTGCCCTGGGCTCGTGCTCTGCGCTACTCATCCACATTCTACCATCTCTATTAATATTGAACTCTCTATTAAACATTTGCAGTCCTAGATTAGGTGAAGGTGTAGTACTAAACTTAGTACATATTATAGAACCAGTAGTCAACATATTTAAATTACTATGTAAAGTTGCATTATCGCTAAAATTAATAGCACCTGCTACTGATTGAGCGTTAGTATCTTTTTTATCTAACTTTTGTTCTAATGATGTATCCTGTGAATTCGCCAAGGGGGGGGGGTTCGAAAACGCCAAGGGGGGGGGGAGACTTACCACAGGCCTCGCCTGAGTTAGATAAAATCCCTTCAACCGACCATTTCACATAATATGTGTTCATCATATCATTTCACAACAGAACCTCAACTCAAGATTTTAATACATATTTTTACAATATTTTCCACATTGTCAACAAGTATTAGGACCTTTTGTATTTTTACAAATTTCTAAAATGTCCACATCAAAATCTAACATAAATTTTGAAATGCTTTTATTGTAAGGTTTATGGGGTTAAACTAAGTGACAGTGAGCCTCATGTAGCAATGAAGCGAGCCTCATGTAGCAATTGAGTCAGCGGGTTCTTTTGTTCATAAATATTCCTGTTTATGTATCACATAATTATCGCCCCATTTGGCTTTAGTGCTTGAAAATGCATTCTAGAAAAAATTCATACTAGTTATTAGAACAATTTAGAAATTAGTTTTCCATAAATACATATTTATCGCCTTCCTTGAAAATTTTATAACCTTCTAATGTTAATTCCTTGGGTTTTTTTTTTTAATTTGGCCCTTGTTAAGCATATCACAGTATTTCTGCCTCTTATCATCATACCTGGAAGACGGACGTCCAATTTGGCGCTTCTCAAAAATCCTATCCATCTTCTCCTTCTCTTCATTGTTGTTTTTTGGAGCGGTTTGTTTAGCATCTAAGTTTTCATCAATTGTTTTAACAATTTCTGACAATGCTTTAACATTCTTACTAATAATTATAAGCTTTTTCATGAAATCGTTAATTGTGAAATTCTCACTTTCACACATTATACAGTTTTTATATAATTATTCATTTAAATGTATGTTTATAAACCTGATTTAATGCAAAATCTACTCTTTACATACTAATTGTTCATCGGTTCTCTTATGGTTTCCTGTGCTTCGTTTTCACCATTATCGGATGGGGTTATTTGCTTTCCCCAATTAAAAGTTATATTATGGACGTCTGTCTCAAGGTTAATACCATCATCTTTGGATTTATCAATATAAATTTTCTTATCCTTTCTTACTTATTTTGAAATGTATTGGCACACACGAACATTTGCAGTTTGCTTTCTTTTGTATGTCTAACTCATTTTTCATTTCTAACATCTTTTTACACATAGGACAAGCAAACTCAGTAACTGCTGTTTGATCAATAACTTCTTCACTGTCTTCATCTGTTGAAGAAGCACTTAACCCTGTCTTGTTCTTTTTATGTTCTCCTATTTATATTAACATTTACACTTTTATTTTTAATATATTGTATCCCCTTTTTTTACCCTCGCCATGCGCACCCTATATCCGCCATGAGCGCTCCAAAGCGCCAGGCAGCGCGCGTTGGCGCGGCCGGGAGATGCCGAAGGAAAGCAGGCTGGTTTTCCAAAGTCTTTCTAAGGGTCATCAAATCTCGGGGGAACCCAGAAGAGCTGAAGACTTGAAGGAGCCGGGCTTTAAACCAGTATTGCGCCTCGCTTGTGGGTTTTGGTCGTGGCTATTCTATCCCTCCAGACTGAACAGGAAACGACGTGATGAAACGGGTTCTCTGGCGGTGTGGCCAAGGCAGCAAGAAAATGCTTCAGTTGTTGCAAGACTAGACGCCTGGACGGGGTCACCGGCTTACTGCACTGGCGCCACAGCTGTGCGTTGGAGACACGAGACCAATTTGACACCCACGACACAACGGAGAAGACGAAAGTACGTCCCATCCACCCGCTTCAAGTGCGTATTCGTTAACGCTACAGTATCAAGTCCGTACAGCAGTATCGAGGCTATTACTGATTCAAACACACAAAGGCGGACCCAAACCGGAAGGCGACTGCACCACACGTGCCGGAATTGATTGAACGCGGCTACCGCAAGCCCTGCTCGCGCTTGTATGGCAAGGCCTGCGGAACGGTTCCACGCTACTACTGAGCCCAGATAGACGACCGAGTTTGCCCTAGGCAAAGCCGCACCCTCCGCGAGGATGCCTCCTTCAGAATCACTTGCCCACGTGCGTCTGGCAACCATGAAAAACAACCCCACTACACGAGCCGCAGCGCCCATTGGGCACAGATGCGCGATGGCTTCTGGACAGGCTGTTCCAGACAGTCACTGTCCTCACACAGGCTGTGCCCCATGCCTCGACAGCTTACCCCACACTGGCGGCGGCCCTGGGGACTGTGGTCAACGCCAGCGCAACACCCTTCAGAGTTCCGGGGGTCTAGAGCCGAGTCGGGTTCTTCCCACCAAACAGTTTTCTTTCCTAGGGAAGTCTTTTTAGCCTTACGGCCACAAGTAGACGAAGGGCCGCCAGTTGTGAGCGTTGCCGCGCGAGCGCCCTATGCCCGGGCAACGCGCGCAGGACGCAGGAAGAGTTGGCGGCTAGGCCCCTGGACCTCCAAACAGTTTTTCAATCCCAAAAAAGTTTCACGACCCCAAACTAGGCGAACCACACCGCCCCCTTCTCGAATTCAGGTTAATTCAACTTTAGCTAGCAAACTGCCAGCACCGCCGCTCCTTGCGCGAACAGGCCCCCAGCTCGAAGCCATTCTGCGCACCTTGCAGACGGAAGCCGGCAAATACGGCTTCGAATTGAATGCTGAAAAGACCGTGCATTTACATCCTGACACGCCAACTTGCAGAATACACACGGCCGCATTCCTGGGGACAGCCGCATCCTCCCTGGTGAACAGCCAGGCGCCTGTGCTGGCAGGCGACGCCTTCAAGAACTGCTCCACCCGAAGCCCAAGCGTGCGCTCCTGGCTCCACCCAATCTGCCGCGGCGTAGCCTCCCGCGTGAGGGGCCCCTGCCCGCACACCTTGACGTTGGATGTGTCGACGGCCGCAAGCTTATGCACCTGCTCGATGCTCGATCAGGAATGTCATCCCGGGCACAGCCACCCCCTGCCTGGCTGCATGACCGATCCCGACTGTAGTGAAGGGACGCAGGTCAACTGGCCAGTTGGCGGGGAGCGGCTGCCGGCACGCGACGTTGGTGCCCCACATCGGCGCTGGTCGGTGGCCTCGAAGGCGCCGGTGTTGGGGATCTCACGCAGAAGGTGCTGTGTGAGTTTGTCAAAGCAGACAAGCAAAAGATAGAACACAAGCATGACTGCGCCCCTCGTTCGCCAAAGGAGAAACAAGCGCTTGATGTATTTCTGTGAGACGATTTTTATATAAGTTTTATATAAGCCGATGAGTATGATTGTCTGATGTGAGGTTTCAGATGTTTGGCTCAACTGGGTTGGTCCCTTCCCCTTTTTCTAAGGTGCGCGATGTGTGGCACTTTTCGGGGGAGGGGGTCCTGGCTCGTGCCTCGCTCTCGGTTTATGATGCTTGCACGCATGCCCTTTTGTGTTGCTTTGCTCGGATCACAAACCTGTTGCTTGCGCTGCGTGCATGCTTCGTTGGCGTAGTGGTCCTGGTTCTCAACCGTTGTTTGCCGTGGGTTCGCCTTTATTCATAACTTGCTTTTACACATCAGGGTCGTTACTGCAGAAAAACGTCGGGAAAGCAGCGCCCACACGGCGTCCACATGTAAAAAAGCGGCCCACAAGTCAGGGGTCAGAACTGCAGGACCTATGTTGCAAACCAAAAGCTGCGCCCGCACGGCGTCCACATGGAGACCAGCGCAGGAATTAGGGCTCACAACTGATAAAGCCGGTCAGCACTGTGCCCCAATCCGCCATGTCTCTGGTGAACAAGTCCTGCGATCAGTTCGGTCTCGTCAGGGACTTGTCCACTGTTGTGGATGTCTAAGCTTGAGCCAATATTGCATCCCTAACTTACTTAATTCTAATGAATAATGACAACACATTTAATTTTATTGTCAGATATTAAACTTGTTCTACTTTCTCTACATCATCTGTTGTATCAATATAATCTGAATAACTTCTATCCACATAAATCATAAGAAAATTATAATCAATCTTGTTATTTAGAATGCTCGGAAGGCAATGGCTGGGCGACACAGAAATGGCATCCAAACTAATTCAAACTAATTATCTTCAATGCTTATGAATGAAGCAATGGAAAGCCTGTTCCATTTTTATGATATTCACTACCAGCATATCATAAAAAGGATGTTCAGTTTTAAAAGAATTATTATTCTATAAGTATTTATAATATTGCTTTTATTATGCTTGATGTAAAACCAACTGATGAAATCAAATATGACTTTAAGCAAAGTAAGCACGAGGTCGTCCCTAAATTGCCGATGAGAGCGATGATTGTAGCCCGTCAAGTTCGGGAAATTCAACTTTACTTATATCAATGATACTTGATAATTATAGAGGAGCATTTGAAAGAGTTTTTATCTGGTCTCCATCAGAAAATTTAGATAGCATTTGGTCGCCTATTAAAAAATACATTAAAGAAGGTTTAAAAGTTGATACTGGTAAAGAACCGTGTTGGTGGGATGAGCTCAATGTTGAAGATTTGGAAAGAGTTATAGAAACTCGAACTAAAAAAATGAATATCAGAAAAACAAGGAATGAAGAAGTAATACAATATATTAGTTATATTGGATGATGTGTCGGATAATACAGCAATAACAAGAAATAACAAATGGTTAAATTCATTATTTGTAGAGGTCGCCACGGTGGAGTATCAACGCTTGTCAGTCTTCAAAAATCAACGACTGTTCCACCTATTACCAGAGTAAATACAAGTCAAGTTAGAACTTCAAAGAAACTGAAATATTACAAGATGAGATGTCTGCTCTTGTTGGAAGCGATAATTTGCACGAACGCAAGAAACTCATTCATACAATATGCGAGACCGCCACTGACGAACCACATAGTTTTCTATATATCAACCTTTTAGAAAAGAACCGTGAGAAAATGTTTATGAGGAAGTGTTCACATTATTTAAGAATACCTGATAATTAAATATAAGTAATAATATTATAATGCCATTGGAACTTTGCAAACGCAGTGGTTTTTCATCACAAAGGAGAATATAAATTTCATTGTAGTTCTTGGATAAACAAACTTTATAAAGATTTAAAAAGAAGACCAACGGATATGGAATTGTTAAGACTTCAAAGTCAGTTTTGCAATGAAGGAATAATTGAGGATTTTGAATCAAGCAGCACTGCTTCAACAACTATACCTAAAAATAGAGTGTCAGACAATGATCATTAATAAAGCTAAACGTATACTTAATACTATCAATTTAAAATATTGAGTAGGAACAAAAGTTGAAAGCGGGTAATTTATAATAGATTTGTCACTTTTTTCCTCTTCCAACATACTAATTTTCTCATTTAGTGTTTTTTACACTTTTAATCAATAGTCTTTCTCGTGTGTCATCATCATCAATTTCATTTAATTTATCAAGAGGTGTATTATCAGTATCAGCTGATTTCTTTTTGAACACCATATATTAGTTTTTTCTTTTTCAAACCCTTAATCTATTTTTCCAATTTATCTATTTTATCATTCAACTCTAATACTACCAACACAGGTAAAACTTAATAGTTCAATCCTAAATACACATTGTCTTTACTCACGACATTCTCAAATTCTTTCGGAATTGCTTTTAATACTTCGTCTGCTATATAAGCTACACGAGTTTTACCACGATCATTTCTACCGTGTCTTTTAAACTTCTTCGGCTTAAATTTCTTAATAAGGTTCATACAGTTAGATTTGATATTGTCTATGTCAAATTTCAACCGTGAGTCACTTGAATCAACGAATGTTCCGGTAATGGTTACGGTTGGTGCTGTGAGGTCTGTATTAGTTCTTTCTTCGTTCCAGCAACTGTTATATCTTCAGTAAAAGTTGATGACGCATTATTTGTAAAACTTCCAGTATTTACTGTTGTACCAAATGTCTTAGCAATAAATCATAAAACCGAAGGTGTAGTTGAACTATCTGCTACTCTAAATGAAGGCTTTGATGTTCTGAATATTACATCAATTGTAGATAAATCAGTTCCATCATAATAAGTTGATTTTTCACTTGTTCCCATTCATATAGCAGTTCCAGTTGTCCTTGAAATGTTGTTTAAAAATGAAACCGTTGTTATATCAAATGATTGAATGGCATTAGCTGCTAAATAAGCATTTTGAACTGCTAAACTAGTATCAATGGTTACTAATGTGCCACCATTAGGTGCTATATGATTACTTCTTAATGCTCCACCAGTTTAAAATAAACATCGCCGGCAAATAAATTACCCATAGCGTCTATTGTGCTTGTATAAGTCAATCCGGTAGAAATATTAACTGCTCCAACGATATTGGATTGAACGGCAGGGTCTCCACAAATGAACCTAATTGAAGAATTAGCATCAGTATTTCTCATATCAAAAGATGAAAACGCACTAACACATTTGTATAAATCACAATTTGTATCAATTATTCATTTACCATCAGTAGCAATATTAACATTATCAAACTTAACATCAGCATTTGTATAAATATTACCTAACACATCAACAGGTTTATTAAAAATCGTTCTATTCACTAATCCATCACATATAAAACATTGATTAGACGCACTACTAACATCACCAACACTCACAGCAACAAAACCATTCTGAGCCATATAGACACCTTCTATTGCATCAGGTGTATATCTTTGTATTGAACGATTATTTTTACTACTTAAAAATGAACCATTATTAAGACTTACTGCCTTGTCACTTCCTATAAACTGGACGGCGTCAGTCAATCTCGCTTGACCGGCACAGTTTAAAACATACACCAACGGCACCTAAACCGAACCTATCCTTAACCCACACACGACCAACATTAGCGCCTCCTATTTGAGTTCCCACTGACCTCCTGCACTACTCATCCACAGTCTACCATCTCTATTAATATTAAATTCACGGTTAACCATTTGAAAATCATTTGCAATCCTAAATCAGGTGAAGGTGTAGTTGAATTGGATTGAATGAAATAAGCGTTTGAACTGATATTTTTTGATAATACATTAATTTCTGTTTTGTTGTATGCATCTGTTATATCATAAAAGTTAGCATATATATTTGTTGTTTGGTATAAGTGTCTACTTCGGCTGCTTTACTATCTAATACTGCTTGAATGTCGGATTTACTTGCGTAAAGGTTTTCTATATCACTGACTGTTCCATCTTTTACTTGTCCAATTCTATTCGCTGTAATATCAAAGATATTCAGGAAGGTCTTTTGGTAAATAATATTGTATTATGAAATAGAAAATTAATAGTAGCGAATTCTATTTAATCATAAAATATTACAGAATTTGAACGTATTTCAAGGATACACTGGTGAACCATATGAATATACCTCCGTTCAGGCATAAAATTACTTGCATATAAAGTAGTTCCATCAAGGGGGCGTATCTTAATTACTGCATTACTATTATTTTCACGCTGCTGATTCTAATTTTTCTAAATTAAATCCGAACATAAATGCTTGTGTTTTATAGTCCTCGCTTCTAACTAACATTGGAGTTTCAGCACAATGCATCAAATGCACGTATGCTTCCCGAACACCTTGAATTTCTTGACTTGGAATAACCTGATTACCGATTACCAATGAAGCAGTTAAACCATATATAGGATTATAATATCCAGAATCAACTTTATCACCTTGACGTGCTAATGGATGATATAGTGAGTTGTGTTCTTTAAGAATTTCACCAAATCCTTCTACATAACTTTTACTCGTTGCATTAGAAAAAGGAATAGACAATGTATTCAATTTAAATACATTCCTAACGATTGTTGTGAAGATTTCAGGATGATGATGTGGTTTGTTCTTGCATTGTTTCAGTTTCAAAAGTAATTGGAAGAGAACCGCTTTCCAACATTTAGCCCCAGTCATTAGAAGTATTTGTAGCAGTGAAATCAGAAGTAGCACCTGGTGCAATGATTAGTAATGTAGGGTCATTAACGAAATATAATTCTATGGCTATAGGACAATAAGACAGGGATATCCAATTTTCACAAGTTTTAAAATATTTCAAATTCATATCATGAAATAAATTAGCGCCTTTACCTTTTGCAATGCCTCTTTTATTACTTGGTGTGACACTCCTATTAACACTTGCGGCTGTGTTGGCGCCTGTTACCTGCGAATATGTTAGAACCCTAACTTTGCTTCTGATGTTTTCAATAAATCTTTCCTCGCATCAGCACGGGCGGTAGAATTCAAATCACATACTATCACATCTCCCATCATCACCCTCACTCTTGAAAAGAACGCACCAGTTGATAATAAGGGTACCAACTTTTTTCTGTAGTCTATTTTAGTAGGGAACCCTCCCAACCAAAAAAGCGGTGAGAAAGGGCACCTAGCTGGGGGACCTAGTTTGGCTGCAGAAACTCATTTCCCGGCCTGCATGGAGCCTAGTCGGAGCATGGCTCACTCATGCAATTCTTGTCCTTGCGGGTCCTCAGGAAATGAGACATGGAATGACCCCCTGTAAACCCTGCCTTGTGGTTTCCTTTGAAGGGACCCTGGGTTCCTTCCCACAACCCCAACCCCAAGCCATTCCTTGCCGAAAACCAGCAAGTTTCTCAGCGTCCCAAAACAAAAACAAATGCGAGAGCCTGGCTCTTCGCATTTGTGTCCCCCCGACACCGCCGCATCCCCAAAACACAAAAGAAACTCAGCCGCGGGCGGCTCAGCTGGACACGGCCCCGGGGGCATTCGAGGAAGTTCTCCTTGCCAAGCTTCACCTATGCGAATCGAGTCCCGCCATTCAGCTTCCCCCGACGTTGGTGGCTTGGAGCCCGGTGGTTTGGTGGTGTGAAAGGGTGGTGTCCCACTTACCCTCTACAAGAACCAGGGTTCAATTCCACCACCAATCCAACAATTAAGGGTTGTCTGAATACTGTGGATGACGAAATCCATTTCGCCATTGTTTGCTGGGGAATCGAATCATTCCAGAGTTCCTGAACGGTGGTGCAGGATTTTGTCCATGGTGTACCTTTCATGGGTGGCTCTCCTTTAACTTCCCTTACCAACCCCGAAACGGGTACCGAGCCTCAAAAACAATCACAAGCAAGGGACCCCATTCCAGGAGTGCGGTGCGTGCTGCCTCAGTAATTATTTTTTGAATACTTCAAAACCAAAAGAATGGCTGGTCAGCTGAGAACAGCCAATCACACTAAGCCGAATGAGGGGAAACTTTCACGAACGGTTTGAACGGGGGGAAAGTCCTCTTTGTAGATATCCCCCACCCCCGACGCTTGTGACTCAGCAAGCGTCGAAATGGCAAGCCCAAGCAAACGGAAAAGCATTCGTCCAGGCAGGATGTAACAGCAGGTGGCGACACACCCCAGACAAACCAACGCCAAAGTCGCAAGCCCCAACAAAAACGTAACCTGTGGTTGAAAGGATCAATAAAAACATTACGATACCAGCCTTTTGGCAGAAATCAAGCTGTAAGCCTCCGAACTCTACTCTCAGGTTGTCAATGTCCCTGTGCAAACCGTGATTCCGTGCAGCCAAGCCATAGTTTTCATGTTGCACTGGCACAGGGAACCTATGAAGCCCTGCAGATTAAGTTGGAACCTCAAATTTCCAGAGGTATCCCCTTCGGGCTCCGGGACAAAGAACGAGGGACCTGTGGAGTAAAGGACCAAGGCGCATCCTTCAACTTGCCCTTGGCGCCCTTTGCAGTGCGCGGAATCATGGCGAATTTTCAGCGAAAGAAACCGCCCGGCCCCGGTGCTGTTCACCCGGGACGCGCTGACCCACCCGGGACGCCTATCTCGAAACGCCGGATCTAGAGCGCGTTTCTCTCGAGCCAGCGGGGCAAAGAAATCCCCTTCGTTTGACATGTGTGTCTCACAAAATAGCGGGACCCCAAAATGGCAGGCGTCCCTCCAAGCCAGCCCCAAGACGCAACCGATGCCGCTTCCCTGCGCGAAGCCAACCTTTTCGCTCTCGCGAGCCATGAGCAACAATTCGCCCGACTCGAGGACGTGTCCCGGCGGCCCTGCAAAGACGCCACACGCCACACGCAACACACACGCGTGGCGCCAGGCTGCCGGGAGGTCTGAAAACGCCCATTTGGCAGCGGCCTTTTCAAGGCCATGCCTCGCAATTCGGACCTTCGCGTTCGCGAGAATTGGTGAAACTCTGAAAACACCTTGCCATAGGTGTCTTTTAATAGATGGCCCTGGTAGTTGATTGAACCACCAGGTATGCCAGGGTCCTCTACTTTTCAACCAAAACAACCAAAAAGGACACCTATGCACCTTGCGCCCTGCGAGCCGAAAGCGGGGAAGTCGGAAGTTCTGGGCGGAAAGCCGGTGAGTCTCCGCCTGCAACAGGTCATTTGGCTCGCCCAGTGATGAATCGAGTCTAGGACCTCCTTGCAGACTCCTCCTGTGGGATAGCTGCCTCAACCCATGATCTCACTTACCTAAAGGACATGCATGTACACAAAATGGCTACTCTTTCGAGCCCCCCCCCCCCCCACACCAAAACACAAAAACGCAACCTTCATCCATGGTCAAGGCGCAGATTGGCCACGGAACCAGGCCAGAAGAGCGACTCAAACACCTCACGGAAGCCTCAGGTGCCCATCTTGGGGGAGTTTTGAGAGGCCCATGGCACCACCTGGTCCCTTGGCTGGAATTCGGACCCCAGCAAGCCTGGTGAGCGGAAAACAAAGGGAGCGCCAAAAAAGCCGAAAAAAAATAGAAATAGAAGGGGGACACATTCTGGGGAAGGTTTTTCAAGAAGCACCCCCTGCTTTGCGGCCCGGCGTGGGGGGGCCTCGTCACGTGCCAGAAAGCGCGAAGACGTCGCCCTCCTGGTCTTGCCACTTCACCTGCGCCCGAGAAAACCAAAAACAAAAAGGCGTGGCCAAATGGCTGTGGTTGTCAAAACCGTTTTGGGATCCCATTTTGGTTGGTAGGTGAATTCACCACCCATTTTAGAGCCTATTTTGGTGGTTGGATTTAATCGGATGTTCACTGGGGGTACGATTTGGATTTTGACCCATGGCCAAATGCAAGCCAAAGGGAAACCAAAGGGAAACCGCGGCAATGGCGATTCACCCCTTTGAGACTTAAGAGAGAACACACCGAAGCTCAAAGAAAGATCAATCATTTCTTCCCCTGCAAGTTGGATACAAATTGGGCTGTTCAGGCGGAAGGATGGTTTGATTATGAACCCCAGCCAACCTAACAACACAGGACTTCCTTCGCTGGAATACCACAAAGCTTCACCCCCACCTTTCCCCCCACCCCCCACCCCACACCCCCACCCTCCCTCCACCCCCCACACCCCACCACCCACCACCCACCCACCCCCCTCCCAACCCACCCACGTACCACTCGCTCGAGGCGCGCGCGCTGGCGCGCCGCCCGCCTGCGACGGCTTTGCGCTGAGCCGCGGGCTGCCGTGCCGCGAGGACATGGACATGGCGGAGGTGGAGCGGGCCATGGACCCCGCGTGGCCCATCGCCAGCTCCTGCCGGCAACTTTTTGTGGCGCGCGAATCTGCACCCCCACTATGACAAATCGAGTCCGACCTTCCATTTCCATTCTTTCCATCCGGTTTTCTTTCTACCTCCGGAAACCCAGGCCGACCGAAAAGAGGACCGTACAGCTTCATCTCCCATTCTCGATGCGCTAGGGTCACCCAAGGCTACCGAACAAAAGACACTTTCTAGAAAACCTCCGGAAACCCAGGGAAACGGATCCGGCTTTTGAAAGAACCATGGTTGAAAAGAATGGGGAATCAACCCTTAGAACAAAAACCACCCGGCTTCCCCAACCCCCCAATGGAACAAAAACCACCCGAAAACCATTCATACGGTGGATGGACGCGGTGCGGCATTTGCACCCCGACCATGTGACAAAAACCACCCGGGCTCGCTCCATTCCTCTGGGGTGAACCTTGCTGGGCTCCCTCATTCTAGTTGCTTCATCATTGGTGGTCTGCACCCATGAAACAAGTTCGCAGCACAAAATGGAACCATGGTTCAAGGCAGCCATTGCTTGTTGGTATTTACGTTGGGGAATCGAATCATTCCACTGAACGGTGGAGCAGGATTTCGTCCATCCACAGTATGGGGTGAACCTGGCTGGAATCCTGTCCCCAATTCCATTTGCTTCATCAGCCCCCTGGACAAAAATGATCTCTGAGATGTCCAGTGAAACCTTTCAAACAAACAAGGGAGAATATGGCACCATTTGGGAATTTTCGGGGAGGCTGATTTCCCGCAAAATAAGCCGTAACTAACGGCCCACAAACTAGGGGTTCACACAAGGGGTTCGTATATGGACACATGCACCCGCCTTTGACTTCAAGACTGGGGGCAAAATCAAGTTGTTGGGGAGAGGTTTTTTTTGCCGGCCCTTAGACAAATTGGAATGAAAACATGGGTCCGACTCAACTTTGACGGACATGTGGCGATCTTTAATGGAAAACACCGAAAAGAATGAAAAAGGGAGCCAGGTACTTTTGGGGGGCTTGGATGGAATGCGTTCTGAATCTCATGGCTGTTCGCATTACCCTCGGGGCAGCATTTTTGGGTAACCCTGCAAAGCCCCACAAAAAAAAAAAAAAAAGCAGGCTGCCTCACCTTCGTAGCCTGGGCTTTCTCCCGATGCCCAGGCCAACGCCCCCCCAAACTTCCCCCCTATTGGGGGGGGGGGAAAACTGACCTGCTCCCGCGAAGAGAAAGCCGCGGCCCTTTTGCTCTCTTTCGTAGGCGCGGCTCGTGCGAACTGCCGGCCAAGTCCTTGCCACTGGCATTTGCCACCTCCCAGCCCCCCGAGAAGCATCCGGCGACTTACTTGTCTTAGCTTTTCTTCAAGGCGATGTGCTTCTCCCGGTGTGGGGAAAAAAACGAGCCCCGTGGGTGTGAGCGCCAAAATGGGGCATGCCGGAATGCATTCCCGGGGGGCCGCTTTCCGTTGGACGTCTTAAGCCTGGAGGTCTAAGAAGGGGCGTGGCTTTGTTTGGGGCTCCGTTTCTGGGGTTTGAAAGGGAACACCCGAGAACCCCACACGTAGGGGGGGTCCAGGCTCCGGCCTTTTGGGACCAACAAAAACTGATGCGTTCACCTTTCTAGAGGGGGAAGAAAAAAAACGGGCATAGGGTTGAAATAGGAGGCTAGGCTAAGAACGAGCCCCCAGGCCAAGATTTCTGAGGTGAGAGGACTGCCGGCTTGGACTCGTTTAGCTCAGAGGTCGCCGCGTGGGGTGACCCAGTTGATCTTGTGCTCCGGAGCCTGCACGCAGAGCGCGTCTCATGCGTCTCAGAAAACACCTAATTCCACCCCCTCGCAAAAAACTCGGCCGGTGCCGGATTTTTTTTAAAAAAAAATGGGAACTAGTTCGGGGAAGCCCACCTTCAAAGGGCTTCCAGAAGCCCTTTGCCCCGCTGAAAGAGTCCGAAGGCTTCAGACATGTTTTTTTGGAGCTGCGCGCGGAAGTTCCGATGAAACAAATAGGAGCAACCTGCTCGAATATGCCACCTCTGGGTGTTCCAACAGCATTTCCCGGTCCCTTAAAAAAATTCTGAAAAGTCACGCGGCTTCTGTTGCAAGTTGGGCAACATGATGACACCAGCCAAAATCCCTGTTTGCATGCAGCTGGTAAGTCACCCGGGAAATCCTACAGGACGTCGTCAAAATATGTTCCGAATACGAGGGCTTTGCCGAACGTCCTGCGCAACATTGTTGTGAATGTGGGACAGCTACAGGAAATGCAGGAAATGGGTTGTCTAAAAGCTCCGAACATCTACGGAACTCTGGCGAGTCACCCCCACGAACCCACCTACCCACCTTTTGTGGCTCGGGGTTTTCTAGGTCTTGGTCATCCAAGTGTCCATTCCCACCACACACACACACAAACACACACACACACACACACACACACACCCACCCCCACCCACCCACCCACCCACCCACCCACCCACCCACCCACCCACCCACCCCCACCCACCCACCCACCCACCCCCATGCACGCACGCACGCACGCACGCACGCACGCACGCACGCACGCACGCACGCACGCACGCACGCACACGCACGCACGCACGCACCACGCACACACGCACACACACACACGCACACACGCACACACGCACACACGCACACACGCACACACGCACACACGCACACACGCACACACGCACACGCACACGCACACGCACACGCACACGCACACGCACACGCACACGCACACGCACACACGCACACGCACGCGCACGCGCACACGCACACGCACACGCACACGCACACATGCATACAGCTAGATAGCTAGCTAGCTAGCTAGCTAGCTAGCTATGTATATACCTGGAGCCCAAATGTCCTTTGTTTTTGTAGGCCTTTCAAAAAAACATGGTTTTGGTTCCAAAAACCCGGTTTTTGAGAAAAAGGCCGATTTTTGGGGAAAGGTCGTATTTTGCTAGGAAGCCCGGTTCAGCTGTCATTTTAGACGACCTGTACGACCAGCATTTGACCTGATGTAGCATCTCATTTGAGCTTTTCACGAATCATAGTGAACTTGTACACCACACGATGAGATTTGACTACAAAGCTTGACTGTTCGGGTTTAAGAAATGACGCATAAGAGACAGAAGGCAATGCATTCCACGCATGATCTCCTGCCATCAAATTCGAATCAGTCTCTTTCGTTCAACCCCAAGTGGAACCAGACTATAACTCTAGGATGCTAGCCTGGAAGTATTGACGAATCTAAAGGTAAACTTCGGACCCAGGGTTACAAGCAAGCAATTTGCACATGACCAAGTCAATCAAGCATGCCACGTCTACTCCTGCTGGAGACATGCCATGTGCCAGACTATCCCTAGCTAACGATTTTGTGCTTTTTATCACATGAAAGCGCCGATGCGCACATGCACAGCACCGACATGCAATTCAACAACCAACCAAAGCGTTTCATAGACAGCCTTGATCTGCTTCGTTCCTGCCTTGGACAGCCTAGCTTTACCCGCTGACATTGAACACGTGCAGGTATGTATGGTAGGTGCACCTTGCTAAAAATCAATCCTGGCATGATCCATTGTGGGAGCCCCTACCGACGCGCATTTTGCTGCGGAACTTCCACTAAAGCAGCCCACTGACGCACAAATATGTTTTCTTCATATTGGGACACTTACTTGCAGGCCTTTACGCATAAACTAACTGAGCATGCTGTTCTAGAAGTAAGATCCTTGGAAAACAAATCTACACTCTACCTTTGCACCCGCTACAGCAAGTTTCGACTCAGCTTTGCAAAGGCTTCAATTTCGCAAGTGCGCCCGCACCTCTAAATGCCGGCTTTCGATCTTGGGATATTTGCTTTCGGAAAACTTCATGAGATTTGTTGGATTTCCGCAGAACGTGCCGAATACGTACAAAATACGTACAAAATACGTACCAAGTACGTACTTTTGGTATGCCGAGCCAGTACCCGTACAAGGGGCGTATTTTGGCGTACAAAGGGCGTATTTTTGCGTACAGAAATACGTACTTTGTACGTATTCTAGCATGTTTTTGGCATGTTTGCGGTTTGAGCATTCGTGCTCTCAACCATTGTTTTTGTAACATCGCCCCGTGCGCCAAACAAATTTCGGCTATGGGGCAGGAATGTTTCATCTTGACCTGTCGGCACTGTTTGGGGGTTCAGTGGTTCTGCAAGCAGGCTGCTGTTTCAGGGACACGACCGCAATTTGCGCCCTCGGCATTGACTGGCTTTCGGGATTTCATGGGTGAGTGCTTACTTACGATTCTGGTGCCTGCTGCTTGGGTGAAGCGCAGGTATAGAGGTTGCCTTGCTTTTGATTGGCGCAACAGTCCTGGCCACTTTGGATGTCAGCAATGATGTTGCATATGGGCACGTGTGGTCCAAAGTCATGCTGCCGCTTGTTGACTGCTAGCGTTACTGTAGCGCGGGCTTGTTGGTATGATTTTCCTTTCAGCTGTGATACTGATCGGGCATGCCAATGCACGGGCGTGTTCTTGCATTTTGCGCGGTGGTTGTTGCAGTGTTGGACTGGCGCACGCTTGCTGCGCAAGGGCAGAAACAATCAGTAAGCAAAACACGCAGCACCTGCGGTGCAACATCCAGTTAAAAGCAGATCTGTCAAATGAGTTGTTGTAGTCTTTCCCGCTCTGAGAAGACAACTGAACAGCACATCGTTTTGAAATAGCCGTTGAAACTGCAGGCCTAAGCAGCGAAAATCCGGACGTTTAGCGGGATCTTGGTCAGGTTGGTGGGCCACATGTCTTCCACGTGTGGTTTGTTGGAGCGGCGTGAGAGCGTAAGCGCGTTGTTAGCTGTTTCGCCCAAAAAAGCCGTATGTTCATCCCATTCTCGAGAACTAGCAGTAGTTTAAAGTAAAGCAAAGGTGTATCACGTGGAGCAAACAGCATTTTGACAGACACGCGCTGTTTTGGAAAGGGGCGTATTTTTATGAAAGGGGCGTATTTTTATGAAAGGGGCGTATTCTCACGAAAGGGGCGTATTTCAATCCAAAAAGCAGGCCAGACACAAAAATGAGGGACAAACCGGCCCCAGGTATATATATATAATATAATATATATGTATGCCCCTATCCTCCAAGTGTCCATGTCAACCCCCCCCTTTTGGAAGGCCTCGAGGTAGAAGAGCTTCATGTCAATGCGGTACTGGCGGTGCTGCTGCGTGTAGACCCAGGCGAAGAAGAGGCCCACGCCGATGCCGCCCAGGAAGTCGCGGAAGTGGTGCCTGGAGAAGCCGCGATGAACTCGCGGGGCTGTTGCGTGTTTTTTTTTTTTGGGAGGGGGGGGCGCCCCCCAAATGATTTTGGCTGTCAAAAAGAAGAAGAAAAAAAACGCTCGGTATGTTTTGGGGAGGGGGGCTTAGAGGGAAATGGTACGCCACCATGCTGGGGGTCTCTGCATGTTGACTGGGATTTGGTGGTCCCGCTGAAAGCCGGCAGGCTTTCTGCATCCTCTACCGGAACCCTGTTCAAGCCTGTGCTTAGACATGTTGAAACCTCGGGCCGGAAAAGCTCAGGGGCTGGCTGGGAGCCACCAAGTATACCTCCATTTCGTCGACCTCCTTTCAAGCCTCCTTTAGCCCAATTCCGGTCGCGTGCCCAACCAGGGCACAACTTCATCAGGGTTCCCATTCTTGCACTTCCCCAAGGTGGAGAACCCGAAAGTCGGCGATTTCTCTCCCAAAGGAGGCTCCCCAATGAAACCACTCCAACAGGTGTGACCAACCATTTTAAGTGGCCACTTCGAGAATGGGTGAAATTGAATTTGCACTACCTAAAAGAGACCCTGGGATGATGATTGCCTTAAGCAAATACCAACCGACCATGGTTTCCCTCGGTTGCTTAGAATTTTGCGAGGCTCGCTCGGGATTTTGCCACCATCCACTTTTTTTCTAGGGGTAACATGTCCATTTCCATTCTGAACCCAGGGATCCGAAAATCTTTCTACCAAAAAACGCGCCCAGAACCCCGGGGAAGCGGATCGATGGCTTTCGCCAAGAGCGGATCGATGGCTGAAATGAATGGAGCTGATCGGAAGCGATTTTCTGGAACTAGGCCAAGCGCCAGCTGTTTTAAGCATGGCCACTGGAGGAATGGGATTTAGGTTGGGACTTTCTGTGAGAGGTGGGTTTTTGGTTGGGACTTTCTGTGAGAGGCCAAGCAGGTCGTCTTTTGACAAGAATGGGGAATCAACCTCTAGAATTATGACGATCCAACGCCCGCCTGGAGATGTAGTCGCCCAAGACGCGCTGACGGAAGGAGAGCCAGGCACCCTCCCACATCACTTCCTGCCCGGCACTCGGAGTTGGGGTTCCCAGTAGATACTGTGAATTGACGAAAGCCAATTCGCACCACCTAAGACACCCAGGAATGATGATTCCCCTGTAAATACCAATGCACAATGGCGTCCCATGGTTTCCCCTTGGGGCAGGATTTCGTCCATCCACAGTATGTCTCGAACTTGGAGCACCCCCCTAAAATGGGCTATGTTCCGTTTGGCAGCCCTCTATTTGTTCACCAACCTGACGAGTCGCGGTGGTTTACAGGATTTGTACCTGGATTGAACTCATCTATCTTTCTTTTGGCTCCAGGTAGTTTTGGGTGAGTCCGGTTTCCGTGAAGATTGACCACAAACCACTGGGAGTGTTCTTCCGTCTACTACGCACATGGCTGTGGCTCAAAAAACCGGTACCAAAATAATGGAAGCCTGGTAAGTGGAAACATGGACCAAAACCTGCGAAACCCCTCCTGTTTAATTTTGAGCCACACCCAAATATGTGTCCTGTTGGAAAAAAAAGTGGCGTTCTCTTGGGTCCATTCAGCCTCCCAAAAACACAGGCCCCCCCCCCCCACAACAACAAAAAAGACAGTTCCCTAGAGTTCCCCTTCTAGGTCCTCCAGTAGAGAGGTTAGAATCAGGGTACCCACTTTTTTCTGCAGTCTATTTTAGTAGGGGAACCCCAACCACAAACGGGGTGAGAAAGGGCACCTAGCTGGGGGAGCCAGGATAAAACGCGTCCCATGATTAGGGGGGGTGTTCCCTCCAATCCCCACAAAAAGGGGACACCCCCCTGTTAATCAACCAGGGGTTTAGTAATCCGGGGGTTTCACACCGGCAGGGCTTTCGGGGGCGACCTGTTTTTTTTTTCTCGCGCGCCTCGGTGCGCTTCACCTCTTCCGCGGAGCGGTAGGGCATGGGGATCAGGGGCCGGTGGATCTTCAGAGGCTTGGCGAACTGGTAGAACATCTCCTGGCCGGCTGCCGCGACTTTCGTGTTGTTGTTTTTTTTGTGGGGGGGGGGGGGGGGGGGGCTGGACCTGAGCACATGAGGGAGGGGGCGGGGGGGCGGGGGCAGGACATGAGGGGAGGGGGGGGGGGTTATGCACTTGAGGAAAGGGAGGGGCCTGGGAGCTCTGGAAAAGGGGGGGCAAAGTTGGCCTCGCTGGAGACGACCTGTGTCTTCTGTGGACGCCACTTGCATGTAAACCACCTACCAACTGGTAGGTGTGTTATCCATCCGCGGCATGTTGGGAGAAGTGCCGCGCCGAGCAAAACAACTGCTTGCTCCAACAAGGCAGACTTAAAAAGACACCTGGGGTGCAACCAAACCAGAGTTTACAAGCCCCTTAAAATGAAGACTGTTTGTCTCATGGGCCAAATGGTGAGTCCCAAAAAATAAGTTAAGAATCAAGTTGGCAGCTTCTATTTCTCCTCGGGTGCCCCTTTGCGTGCCAAGTTTAGTCGGACATGTTGCTCCTGAAAGCCTGAGGAAAGCCAGCTACGGGCCGTCACAATAAAAAGAAGACCGCTCCAAAGAGCACCATATGGGTGTGTCTTTGTTTGAGGGTACGCATGTTTTGTGGTTTTAACGGGAAGCCAAAACGAAAATCACGTTCGACTTCCTTTCTTCTCTTTTTGGGGGGGGTTCCCCTTTTGGCAAGACACACCCATATCGAACCATCCCCCCCCCCAAAAAAAAAAAACACCCAGGCCAAAGGGTTTGCCCTGCAAAAGTCGCAGCCCGAAACCGAGCGCCTCGTAGTCATCGAAGGTCATCTCCCCGTTGATCAGCTTGTCCATCCATGGCTTAAGCTCCGGGGTGTCGTCCCCCAGCTTCTTCAGGAAGGGGTAGTACCTGGCTGTGGTCAAAAATGGGGGAACCCTCAAAGGGGGGACCCTGGAAAGGAGCAAAACCTGCGGTTGTTTGGTGGTTTCATTCTGACCCATACCCACCTCAGCTCAACGGAACACCGCGAGCCACTCGGCTTGTGCCCAAGTAGCGCAAAAAAAAACGAGACGGAAGCCACGAAAAGGTGTCCATGTGCTTTGTGCCTGTTTTTGGCCAGCTCTTTCACACCAACAAGGAAAAAGCCGTTGCACCTGGGTGTCTTCAATGAGGCTACGAGAGGAGCCTCGCTCCCCCAACATGGGTCAGTGCACCAAGCCCCTTTCCAAGAGGAAAGTGGTCTTGCTACAGGGGTCTGTGCACTTCCACGTTTCTCAGTGGGAGGGGTACCTGGACACAAGGCTGACTTTGCCACTCCGGGGTAAATCTCTGCCACCCGGAAACCCCGGATTGACTTCGACCCCTCCCATAAATTGGGGGGTGGGGTGGAGGCCCGCCCCTCTTGTCAAGTGATGAGGCCCTTGGTTGACGTTGGAAGGGGAGCAAAAATCTAATTTTTAGCAGTTGAGTGGATTTGGATTTCCCACCAAACCACAATAAGCAAAAATGGGAAAACTGTTTCCCAACAACAACCATGGGGGCCGGTGGGCAGAAGCAGAAGCCCTCTCTCAATCTCCAAGTTGCTGAGGCGGGATGTAGTAGGTGTGGCGGATCGCCGTGGAGATCTCGGGGGGGATGTGGGCCGGCACACCAAACTCATCTCTGGGCATCACCTCAGCAAGTGCAGCGCCGCAGCGCAGCTGGGGTCAGCTGGGGTCTGCTGGGGTCTGCTGGGGTCTCTGTGGATTTCTGCGTCTTCTGCGCTGCTGACGTTTCTTGCTGCTGGCCTGTCACGCTGCTGTCTGCTTCGGTTTGTTTATCTGTTAGTTTGTCTGTTTACCTGTTTGCCTGTTTGGTTTCTTTGCCTGTTTGTCTGGCGTCTCTCTATTTGTCTGCTTGGTGGATTTGCCGCGGGCCACATGTGCAAGTGTGCAAGGGCCCTGCCTCGTTTATCACGGGAAGAAGCGGAAGGTGGCTTGCGAGGGGCCCTTTTGAGAAAGAGGACGCACGGCTTTATCTCCCATTCTTGATCCGCTAGGGTCACCCAAGGCTACCGAACACCACACAGACGCCTTTTTCTTGTCGTTTCCTCTGGGCCACGTCATACTCCAGCTCCATCTCAGGGTCATAGGCCGGCTTGTCGTAGACCAAAGTCCACATCACCGGGTACCCAGGGTTCACGCCTCGGACGAGCAAAAGTGTTTAGGCCAACTCAGCCAGCTTCAGGGTGCTGAAGCGACTCCCCGCATGACCTTGAAGAAAACTCACTTCACATGGCAAGCCCAACAAGGTGAGCAAGCCAGTTTAAGAGCGTGAATCTGCAACATGGAGACCTCCGCTTAAAAAGCGCCCGCTCGGAAATCTCCGTCAAGTCTTGGACTCATCGGTCCCTCACCAAGGCAGGATCCCTCGAAACGGCACGTATCACCACGACTTAGGCAAAGACAAACCTCGCAGGCAGCCACCGAAAGCCGAAAGCCCCGCTGTAGTTTCTGCGAGCGCTAAAAAAATCGGGATGCCCTGGGGGAACCGCTGAAAAAGACGACAGCCCCGGGTCGGGAGTTCCTGAGTGGTTGCAACCCAAGTCAGCAAGGGCCACCTTTCCTTCGCCTTTCCAACGTGGTCCTTGCCCGTTGATTCCTTCAACCTGTGGCAAGTTGATAGGTGTCCTTTTGGAAAAATAGATGGGTTCCCCTGGTAAATGGGGCACAAAACCCATCTAAGCCAGTGCCTTCCATTTTTTTCACCAAACTAACCTAAAAGGGACACCTATGGTGGCAGCCTTATCTGTGCCGAGGGGCACTGGTTGAAGCGGGGGCTGCTCTGGTGCAGCAGCCGCGTCTGCGCCGCCAAGGGCGACACGTTGGCGGCGGCGCCGGCGGGCACAGCCCGGGCGCTGAGCGCGACGCGGCGGGCGCAGGCGGAGATCATGATGATCGAAGTCACAGGCGAGACGAGGATGCAAGCCTTGAGCCTGGACGCCTGCAAAAAGCACACTTCAGCTTCCATTGTGTAAGCCCAGTGGAAAAAAAAATCCAGTAGTGATAGATTCTCCGCAAAACCAGCAAGGGATTAAAAAAAAAAAAAACTTAAGCAAATGGATGTCAGGGGCTTGGTCAAAGTCTGGAGGTTTTGTTGGCCACCAGCCTGTGCCAAACAAACAGCCCAGCAAGAGAATAACGTGCCTGGACTCCGGTCCATGCTTGGTCTAGAGGGAAGGGCGCCGGAGGTCTGGGAAAATGATCAGCCGCGTCGGACAGTCAAAAGGCCTGTTCCCGATTCCCTGTGCTCAAAGGGACAACGCCCCAGGGTGTCTACACCGCGAAGAAAATCCAGGGTGACCGCACTGGCTTGACCTCCATTAGGGACAGCCAAAAAAAAAAAAAAACTACGGCCCCTCCAGCGCGAGGTCGGCTTCCAGGCCAGCGAGCCCCAACTCTGCGATGGCTCCTCCTCCGCTTCTGGCGCCCACCTCAGCTTCAACGATCGCTTGCAGCTGGCAGACGCTGACTACTTGGCCCCCTTTCACTGGCGCCTGGATCTTCGTTTGAAACGCTTCATGAAACCGCCTGTCCTGAGCATGCAGATAACCCAGTGGCAGAACCAGCCCCGCAAGGCGGCGATAGTGTGGCTGGGAGGTGCCTGTGAAACTTGACGGCCTCCCGCAACCATAGCTGTCTTTTTTTGGAAAAATAGATGGATTCCCCTGGTAGTTGATTGAACCACCAGGTAAACCACAGCCCTCTATGCTTAAACCGAATCAACTAAAAAGGATACCTATGCCCGTAACTGTCTAAAGTGTTCTCCCTTTCTGCCCGCCCAAAACCCTTCAACGAAGCCTCGGGGGAAATCACTGCGCGCCGCGAGGCCAAGATTCCTATCCCTGCTGTGTCACTTTGAAAGGTGGCCACTATATGTGTGAAAAAAAAAAAAAAAAAAAAAAAAAAAAAAAAACTATTAATTGTTATTATTACTGGTACTCTTATTATTGTTGTTGTTGGTTTCATGTCTCTAAAAAAACACCGGACGTTCCCTTCAGGCCACTCAAACAAAACTTGGATGCAGATAAACACAAGTTGCCCAAAACCCAAACCGTGCACAACCAACGCCTTTTTTTTGTTCTCCGCACTCCACGCACCCCGGCTGAGGCGTGCACGGCTGCAGCCCTTCCCAGACGATGTGCACATGTCGCGACAGCTGCCTCGCGCGAGGTCTTCGAGCGGAAATCCTTGCTTTGGAGGGGGGGGGGGGGTATTTGGCACAACTCCCTCGAGTATTTTGCAAGACCCAACAAATCCGGCCACACCGCCGTAAGCGGTAAATTGCAGGCTTCCCCCCATGTCCGCCTTCACGCAAAAGGCGATTCACCCTGCAATATGATGGGCATCCGTCCCCAGCCCTCCTCCCCTAAAGCTCCTTGTGAAAGGTTGCTCTGCGTTTTCCCTACCAGCACCGTACAGCCAATGCAAGCCGTCTTAGATATTTGCGTAATATGTAAACATACATGGCTACATGTTTAATAGAGAGAGGGAGAGAGATTGTCCTCTGAAACCCCTTTTCAGGGCTGCGCCCCGCGCAGCCCGCCGGCGCGGTGCGATGATCCTAAGCTCCGCCTGTTGCTGATCTTGTCGTAGTCGGTCTCCGGTCTCGGATGGCATTTTTTGTCGTGGGATGGGGTGGCCAGGCGTTTCCACATTGGGAATGTCTTTTGTGGAGTCGCTAGCCTGCAATTGTGGATTGTTTCAAGGCAAGCCAAAAGGAAAGACGAAGCCATTTTTGAATTGTCCCGCCAACCCCCCCCCAAAAAAAAAAAAACAAAACAAAAAAACGTGCATCCAATAAAAGAAGGAAAAAAAGGCGCGCCACCTGCGTGGCTACAGCTCAACCTTTCGCTTCGGGGCCCCGGCACAAAGGGGGGCGGCCAGGTCTGGTCTTGTACCGCCTGAAGCCAAAGCCCAAAGCCACCGCTTTCAGTGAAGTCCTGACTCACTAAAGGTCCATAGATGAAGTCCGTTCCGGCCATTTTGGACCCAGGGAACCAAAAAGCCATTTTGGACCCCAAAGCTGATTGCAAAAAAAGGTAAGCCATAGCTAAGGGCTGATTGTATTCCACAAAACCGTTTTGGATGCGGCGAATCTGTGGATCCACCCCGTGTAGAAATGTAAAAGAGTACTAAAAGATTACTTAAAAAAGGACCAACAGGGGAAAGAACTGGTGAAATCTACAAAAAGCGCATTCTACCCTTTTTCCCACGGCCATTTTGGACCCAGGCGCGTTAACCCATAAACTAGGGGTTCATGCAAGGAACTCTGAGACCCACCGGCGAAGCAAGGCAGAGTCAAGAGACAGGTTTGACGGCATATGTCCATGTCTCTACCTCAGTCCGTTTCCCGTGGACCCACACCTCAGTCTTCATTCTCCTTATCTTGCTCGTCTTTCCATTTCTCTTCATCATTATCTTCTTGATTTTCCACTTCCTTTACATTTAGCATTGGTTGTCCTCTGGCATCTTCTTTCTTCCTGTCATATGTGGGCATGCGCAAACAGACCCCTTGCCCCCTGCCACGCAAGTTGCTTCTCGAATCCCCTCCGGGAATCGAGGAGGTTCCCGGGCGAATCGGTTGAGAGTCCCGGCCTTCCTTGAGCCTCCCGTTCCCGGAGGTTTCTGGCATTTTTCCCCTGGACCGAATCCCTCCCCAGGGACCTCCAGAAGTCTTGGCCGGAAAAAAATCGGACCCCGGCAAAAGATATGTTGTTTTTTTTGGCCGGGCGAGTGGGAAAATTCAAAGGGAACCCCCAAAAAGCGTAAGAAAGCGAAAAGGGGAGCTAATTCTGGTGAAGGAAAGAGGTTTCTGGAATCCCTCCCCTGGGACCACCTCCCCAAGGACCTCCATAAGTGGAACCCGTTCTGTGTGACTTGACTGCCACCTGGATGGACGAAGCCATTTACAAATGCCGCAAACAACAAACTACTGTGGATGGACGAAATCCATTGAGCACCACTTTGAAACCATGGTTGAAACCATTGCTTGTTGGTGTTTGGGGGATCATCATTCCAGGGTCTCTTAGGTGCTGCAGGATTGCGTCCATCCGCAGTATGAATGGGCCGTCTTGATTCTGATTCCTATGAATAGACCTTCTTGATTGCAGATTTGGCAGTTTTGAGAAGCCACCGGCTCTGAATGGTTGCTTCAGGTTCCAGGTAGTCGCTAAAACATAGCCTACAATGGTTCCCCATTTCGTCTATGCGCATCCGGGGTAGGAAAGAACAGACTTTGTCTATGCAAAATAGTCTTGGAGGAGAATGCAGTAAATATTGAAAGTAAAACCAGCAGATGAAACAATTGGCACATGGAGGATCGGTTTCCGAACGCTCCCTTCATTTTTTGCAATATGGCAGACATGCGCATCCATCGTAGTGTGAGTTCCTTCTTAAAAGAAGGATACGTCCGAGAACCTATTCCTTGTCCCAAATGTATCCGTTTCTCGCGACTTTGAGGCTTCGCGGGCTCAAACTGATGGGGGTCCCTTCAAACCACGGATTTAGAGGTAGTCGAAATTCTAGGACCTCAATTTGAGTCACAATCAAAACCTGGTACAAAAATGGTGAACCCAGAACCATGCTTCAAGAATCAAGAAGGCGGCCGCAACTATTTCCGGCTGGGACTGCCCTCCCTAACCTTCATCCACCCGGGTTTTGATTGTGGCTCATTTGAGGTGGCAAAGCCCGCCGAAAAACCCGGCCGGCCAAACGGCCACAGTCCCAAAGCAAGCCTTGCAGAGTAACATCATGGGTTCAGGCAACATGTTCCGCCATACCCGCATGCTGGACGCGTGGGGTAAAAACGCCCAGGACTTGCCGGCCAAACGGCCACAGTCCCACAAAAGTGAGGCGCGGTCCTCTTGTCGCTGGCCCATTTGGACTCCCTCCTTTTTGCTCCAAAAGCCTTAAAAAAGACACCCCCCATGTTTAAAATACAAGCTCAACCAGGTCGGCGGAAAAACATCTTCCGGGGTGCCTCAACCTATGGCCAAAATCCAAATCGTACCCCCAGTGAACATCCCAATCCAACCACTAAAACAGGTCCTAAAATGGGTGTTGAATTCACCTACCAACCAAAATGGGATCCCAAAACGGTTTTGACAACCACAGCCACATATTCCCCCCCCCCCCCATGTTTAAAATAAAAGCTCAACCGGGGCAGAAGAAGAAACAAAGAAGAAACAAAAACGGGGATCCTTACATTATACACCTGAACATTGCCTTGTAAATGGTGGTGTCCCTTTATTTTGGTGGAAAAAGCCATGTTTCAAATAGTTGCAAAATCTATCTTTTAAGGAGCCCTGAAAAACGGGGTGCTTCAACCTATTTCTTTCCTCGATCCAACCGCAGACCCGCAGGCCGATTCTCCGCCCAGCGCCTCCCAGTTCATGCCATTGAAGAAGGCCAGCGCCCAAAGATTTTCTGGGCCGTCAAGGGAAAGAATTCTCCGACTCGAAACCGTGCAACCATGCCTCCATTTGGTGAGAAGGCTCCAGGAAAAAATATAAAAAGATTTCCAGTAGTGATGAATTCCTTTTAAGACCAACAAGGAGGGAAGAAAGAAAAACTGAATCAAATGGAGGCATGGAGCTGACTTCAACATGCAACCAGGCTATGGGGCCGGTTTGGTTGTCTCGTCCTTGGTTCCTCTGGGTCAAAATGACACAAAAACCAGGCTGTGGAGGGTCAAAATGGGACCAGGACTTCCAAATTGGCCTGCCCATTCACAGGAACCCGACATTTCGGGGTCCTGGTTTGGACGATGTTCCTTTAAAAGGGGACCGGTTCTCTGGTGGGACCAGGATATGGACCGCAGGCTTTTTATGCTTCGCCCATTTTGGGGAGGGTTTCCCTATTTTTGACCCACAGCCACTTGCACATGACAGAATGATCTTAAAGGGTGGCTCCAAGGGAAACCACGCCTTTCAGCAGCTTCGAGAAGCTCCCAACAAACCTCGTGCGCTCGTGATAGGTTGGATTTCGGATGCTGGGATACATTGACAATCCCCCCGCCCACCCACCAACTACCCAAATGAGGGCTTAAACAAAAAATTGGAAGCCCGAAAAAGATGGCATCTCACCTAAGCACCTTAACGACACCCAGCCCCATAGACCCAGGGATGCCGAGCACTTCTTTTGCAAACCAAGTGCCCGCCCAAGAAAAGGAAACGCGGCAGAGCCGCGGATGCCGCCCCGCTGCATGGTGATCCTGTCCTGGGGAGGGGGTGGGGGGGTTGGGGTGGGGGGTGGTTTACTGAACCAAATATGCAGGTTGCCCCCAATTAGGGTTTGGGGAGTTGAACTTTGGTTCTTGTGGAGCGCTAATGGGAAAACAATCCTTGACCTCCAAACCACAAATCCACGTCACTTAAGGGTGAGGTGAAAATGATGAAGAAATGTTCCAGCAAAACCTTTGTTGACTAACGTTGAACAAGCCCCGAAGATCATTGCGGCGGCCTGAAATGCAACGTGCTACCCGTCAGAGAATCCACTCTTGGCCATTCCTGAAATATAAATAATTGCATTTTCTTCAGTCCCTTGGAAAATAACATGTCCAGTAGTCATGTAGATTTCCTTTAGAACAAACCAAGTCAAAATACAACACATTCTCAAGCAAATATATGCAATTGCTTTTGCAGGGGATGGCACTGTCTATTTCGCCTGCAGCATCCTACGCTTTTGTGCGACAGCTGAGGTAGGCGCAGGTTTGGAGTGCACACACACCCGCGCCCCACGAAGCATCCTTTGGAGCCTCCGCAACATCTTGGGGGTCCCAAAGCTGTCCGCATGACACCACCTCTCTCAACTCTACCTTTTTCCCTGGCCGCTTTTGCCCCCTTTGCCTCTCTCCAAAAGCAGCCATATCTCTCAGGATAGCCTCAGAATATAGCCAGGGGTTGGGACCCTCCCGAAACCAACTCCGCAAAGGCACCGTTGTAAACCAACCCGATGCCAAAATTCAAGGGTCCACGTGCTTCCTCTTTCGGTTTGAACAACTGAGCTATAGTTGCCCAAATTCAGCCATGGGTCATAACCTATGCCTCCATTGTGGGGCGGATGAACACCCATGTACCACCTGTTTTGATGTTCACCAGGGTACAGGGTTTTGACACACACAGCCATGTGACTAAGCCAATTTGGGGGGTACCAGCATGTTCACCAGGGGTGCAGGGTTTTGACCGTTTTGACCCACAGCCATGTGACTAAGCCAATTTGGAGGGGGAGGCATCCGGAGACCCTCTCCTCCGGCTTCTTGCGGCACAGCGAGCGCACGCACTCCTCAGCCTGTCGCCGGCTACCGGATGACAGCCTTTGGGCCGGTCGAGCGAAGAGCCCCCCAAAGAACAGGCCCCCCAACGAAGCCCTCGCAAAACTGCTGCTTTTTCAGAGGCCGCGTCGATTTGTCCTAAAAAAAGCAGGCACCCAGACATGGCAACTGAGGAGTTCATAAGGGATGGACAAGGACCCGTTGCAAGGATCGAAACCAGTGGAGCATCTGGGCAATCTCCCAGATTCCCTGAATTGGCGGGCCAACATGAGAATTGCCCGCAGAGCTTGACTTGGGGAATGCAGCAAGACCCTTCTTACAATGTACAGCTACATTCAGGAGGTTTTCTGTCAGAACTGAACGCCAATTCAACGTTGACTTCTGGCGAGCGCGGTTGCGCTTGATATTTGGGGGGGCGATATTTAGAGGGCGAACTAAATCTTTCCATGAGGATCCCTCAAAATCATGTGCTTCCTTCCGACCCCGTACAGTTGAAACAGCAACCAAAATGGGCTCCGGCCCGTAGCCATGGTTTGATGTGGCTCGTCTTCTTAGTCGGTTGGAGCCCCAAAAATGGCCACCGTGTCCCTCTTGGCCCTCCAAGCCCCCCCCCAAAAAAAAAGAGAAGAAGAAAAAGGACGCCGGCAAATCGGGCTTCGTTCGCCCTCCAAAATGAGGCAAATGCCACACTTCCAACTGCTTGCTGGCAAAGCAAAGTAGGCAAAACCCAAATGGTGGGATTGTGCTGTCTCCCAACTGGGTGACCATCTCCATCCTCCAGTTCATGTTGCCTCTGGTCCATATTGAGCAAAAACATGATGATAACAATATCTAAAAAAGAAGAACAAACACTATTTTCGGAGGAGACTCCAGGTGAGTAAGAGGAGACTCCAGGTGCGTATTGCCTCTGTTCCATGTTTAGCCAATCAAAAATACAACATATTTTTTGGAGGAGAGGTCTGTCCGACCCCTGCCTCTGGCGAGAAGCCCGCCGGGAACTGTACCTTCGACAGGCCTCAAGTGCGAGACCAAACCAGCACAGCAGGGGTGCCGACCAAAGCCAAGATGGGCCCAAGTCTCTAACTGAGCTGTTCAAAATGGTTGGGGTTGGCCAATCCTGATCCATAAGCCCCTTGCGCAAATCCAGGTACGGATTAAGGGTTACCTTTGAACAGCCCAGTCTGAAGCGGACTTCAGCCATGCGCCAAGATGTTTAAGGTTGAAGGCAAGGAAGACTGGTCCGCGCTGACATCCTTGCCACGCTCCTGTCTGGTTGGTTTGCCTCCCTTCGCTGTGCCAACTCCTTCAACAACCATCGCTCCCGAGAAGAACCGGCCCCTTGGTACCCTACCTCCCTTTTTTTGGGAGTCAGCTGGGGGAACGGCCTCGAATGATGTTCTTGTAGATCTGCGTCACCTACACCCGGCGGCAGGCGCTTGACACGTTTAAGGCAAGCTCAGCAAATTGATGCAACTGGTACAGCCCCTTCCACCTTCTTGCTTCGGATAGCTCACCGACCTCCCCTGCAACAACAAACCTCCATTTGCTTAAGTCCCCTGGAAAAAATATATTTCCAGTAGTGATAGATTCCCTTTAAAACCAACAGGGGAGAAAAAAAAACATGTTCTTAACCAAATGGAAGCAAAGGAAGGGAAAAAAGAAAGCCCCAAGCGCTCGCCGCCTCGGGCGCGTCGAAGGGGCTGTGCCCGGCGATCATGATGAAGAGCATCACCCCCAAGGCCTCCAATTCCAAGCGTCGAATCGAAGAAGCAAGACTCGAAGGCAGAGTCCCAGGCTCTCTTTTTTTCCCTCGAAAGCGTATCCAAGAGAAATTTCCAGGAGCAACAAGAGCACATGCAAGGAAACTTATAAAACACGAGAATGAGGCGGGTTCCCACGTGCTTGCGAGTGCTTTCCACACCCAGCCTATACAGAACTCCTGGTCTCCAGGTCCGGCACCCCCCTTTTGAAGACCAAAACAGGGATACCCCCAGCTTCCAGCCAGCTGGCTGAAGGCCAGTGTTTTCCGACCCGAACGAGGCGGATCGCTTCTTTTTTCTGCGGGCCCCGGCCCACCAATCCACGGCGCGGTTGTGACCCACCTGCCGAAGCCACGGCCCAAGGACTGGGCGTGGGGTTTTGGCCGGTTTGGGGTGGCTTGAGGTTCGCGGGGTTGAATTCTACCTCCAACCCGATCCAACCCATCAATTCAGCCCACTAGCACGCTACTTGTTCGGGATCTTCTCAAAAGGGCCTTCTGGCAGCTGGCAGACGGGCGGGTTCAACCAAAGGAAGGGTCAAAAGGCAAACCCTTAGCAATAGCGAGGGCCTGGCCGAGCGCAACATGCGGCGTGGAAACCACAAGGTAAACCAAGACAAACAGCTGACACTCAGTTGGCGCACCCTTTTCGGCAGATCTTCCTTCAGAATCCAAAATGCAACCGCCGACGGTATCGCTCCGCACGAAGCAAGCGCCTCACCCATTACTTTCTCACGAAACGCCCGAGCGCTCAAGTTTTTGCGGCTCTGATGTCAAGGGGCTCCCAAGAAAAGAATAGGTATGGGACATTTTTTGGGAATGCCTTCTGGCAGGATGTTGGTCCTTGCCTGCTTCAGGGTCTCTGGGGCGAAGTAGTCCGCTGTGCCGCAGACCTCAAGTTGTCAAGACATCCATCCGCTTGCCCTATGCGACAGCCTTGCGATGGGGAAAGACTGGTTGCAGAACAGTTGGCATGCTTGAGAGAATGACTTCCCTGGCTCCATGCCGCGAACAAACAAGCAACTCGCCTTTCGTATATTTCGGATATTCATGTTGATCACTGGCAGGGATCACAAGGAGGCCTTTTCTCGGCTTTGCCAAGACGGCAGAAACAGGGGCGGAGAAAACGACTCTGACTACAAGCCCTCTGTGCTACCCCGAACAAAATGCCGGGATGGAGCGACAAGTGTCCAAGTGACCCTTTTGTGATCGCACTTTATTCAAGTCGCAATGCCAAGGCCAATCGTCGTGATGGAGCGACTATATATTGCAAAGTCAGCAGGCCTTGGCGGCAAAGGGGCGCAAAAATCAAGGGGCTGATGTCCCATTCTTTTCAACCATCGTTCTTTTCAAAAACCAGCCGTTTTGCCTGGGTTTTCGGAAGTTTCCTAGAAAGAAGGATCCCTGGAGAGAATGGGGAAGGTAGCCTTAGATAAAGAGTGGGTTGCTCATGTAGCAGCTACACATTCAATCGGGGGGTCAGGTTAGCCCTGCACGTCTCCCTCTCGAACTTATGCCAGCTTTCTTCCTCCCCCTTTTCCTGGCAACTGTTCGAACTTTCGGGGAAGCAATTCCTTCCTGCGAGGCCGCGGCCGTAAAGGTCTTGCCAGTGACCATCCTTGGCCGACGGGAGCAATGTGGAGGGTCAGGTAAAAAATTGGGCCATGTCTCAACCCGTGCTCCGCCTCTCCCAGCAACACACACACACACACACACACACGTGTCACATGCACATTGCTTTCTGCTCCATGGGGCAAAGACGACGAAAACCCCAAAAAGGGCCATGGCAAAATTCCGAGGGTCGGTGACCCATGCTCGGCTTAACCCCCCCCCAAAAAAAAAAAAACTCAGCGCAGAGTTTGTTCTGCAAGACCGCCGAAAGAAGTGGCTTGAAGCGAGGGGCTTGGCGATGCCCATGTCAGTGAGCTTCACGTAGCCCTGCATGGCATGAGGTGCGCATGGAAATTGCCCAGAGGATTCAGCCCGTGCCGACTCAATTCTTGAGTTGACACCTGACCGTGTAGCGGTGCCTCACTTCCCAAGAAACACCCTTTGGCTGACATGAGGCAGTGAACAAGAGTCTATCAACTCTAACTTGGGCGTGTCTTTTTTTGAGTGTATCCTTTTTGATGGTCCTTTTTGATGATTTTAACGGAAACCGGAAGGAACCCCCCCGCCTGGTTTTGCGGAGCTTGTCCTGGATACGTCGTATGAGCGCCTAAACTTTATTGACTCTGGTGTCTACTAAGCTGGTTGTAAAGGGACAAAATGGGCCTTACCATAATCGTACGAAACCGGACGCTAGGGGGTTCTTCTAAGCTCAGATGGCCACACAGGAAAACGGCCTTACTATAATTGGCCAGGCGTCTACGTACCGCGAACTAAAGCGACTTGTCCTGGGAAAATTTGGCGCTGCCACAAAAACACGACAAGCTCCAACCATTAGATGGAGCTTGCCACCCTCCAAACGAAAAACACCAGGCCACAGGAGATTCGGTCGCCGGCCGAATCGGGTGCTCCCAAAGACTCTGCCAACGGCCCCCCCCTGAAACCAGCCACAAAAACAAAGAACACTTTGGAACCCTTAGGGAAGGCCAGGACGCCTAGGGAAGCCATATAAGACGAAACAAACAAACAAAAAAACATGTTTGTGTCCAGGGCCCGTTTTTGCCCCGGAGAAAAAAGATGGAAAAAAAACTCCCCCCTCCTCCCCCCTCCCTCTCCTCCCCCCTCCTCCCCCCTCCCTCTCCTCCCCCCTCCTCCCCCCTCCCTCTCCTCCCCCCTCCTCCCCCCTCCCTCTCCTCCCCCCTCCTCCCCCCCTTTCCTTGAACCCCTCCTCCCCCTCCCCCTTCTCACCTCCTCCCCCCTCCCTCCTCCCCCCTCCTCCCCCCATGAACCCCCGGCATGGGCACCTTGGAGGTGAGGAGGCAGTTCTCAAGTTTCAGGTCCCGCCAAATCACGTGCCTTCGGCCGAAAGCGACGGTGGGGGGGGGGCTAAGGAATGGGAGCAGCGGAGCCGCCCACCAAAAGCCAGAGGTATCAGAACCCCAGAACCCCACAACAACCAGGGTGATGTTCGACTCTTCACTGGCTGGCGCATGGAAACCTCCGCTCGTTTATGTTCGTTTGCGCTTCATTTTCGGGCAGATGCCAAAACCCCCTGCCCCAAAAGCCGGCCGACTCAGGGAACGAGAACTGGAACGGCCCCAAGAAAACCCATCCACGACGTTCCTTTCGGCTTTCGGAAATCCCAATTCAAAACGGTTCATTCCCAACACCGGAACTTCGGTTCCGGTCCTATTGCTATGGAGCACAATTGCAGGTTCCATGCACCAGTTCTGGAAGAAAGTCTGATGAATGGAAAAGCACCAACCCCAACTGCAGGTTGGAAAACAACGAACTACACCTGGGTTCCTTGTGAGAGCCATGGAAAGGACAATGCCATATGTGCCATGGTAGGACCAGCTTCCTAAGGGACCTCACAAAAGTCTGACCTCTTGTCCCGTCACCTCTTCGGCTTGGGGCCCGGGGCTTCTCATGGAGGTGCGACAAGCCCAGGGCCACGCAGGCCACATAGAAGGCTGCCTTGGCCTCAGAGGCAACGTGCAGGTCAGGCGACCCCCATGGCTCCATGCTTTTCTCACTTGCCGGGTCATGGCCCATCAGTACAAGGTGATCACCTTTTGGGACCCCTACTAAAAACAGACCAAACAGGGAAAACCAAAAGGTCAACATTGGAATCGGAGGCTCCATTGGCTCCGCTTGGCCGGCGCCAGCGATTCCCCCATTGAAACCACACACACACAAAGGGTAGCCTCAAAAAAAGACCGTCATGGGTGGGAGACTTGTTGTGGATTGATGGGGGTAAGGGAGAACAAGCCAAGAATAGACCCCAATGAGGATTGAGTACATGTCAGCTACATGTTCAAACTTGCTGACCATGGTTCTAGGGAACGGTTTGGATGCGGTTGTTGTGGATCCACTGTAGAATAGGATAGCAGAAGAGTACTAAAAGAGGACTAAAAAAGAGGACGAAAAGACTAAAAGAGGAACAATGGGGGAACAACGGAAAGCACTCGCTGGAATAGTCACAACCTGCAACCTGTGGAATACGTGAACCCAAGAAGGGTTCTTAGAAGCTATGTGATCACGATTCTGGTGGAAGGGGGCCCTAGCCTTCATGTTTAGCCATAGAAATTAAAGGACCGGATAACCCCACATGCTATGTTTTTGCCACGATTTCGCACACCCCCCGCCGCGCGCGCGACAACATCCTGTCCCTCTAGACAGCTGCCGAATGCGACCCCTGCCACACAAACACACACCCAGATGCACAGAATGCTGCGCCTGCCACGACTTCGGCAACGGCATCCCAAAGTGCTGCGCCTGCCACGATTTCGCAACGGCATCGCCAAAGTGCTGCGCCTGCCACGATTTCGCACACCCCCCGCCGCGCGCGCGACAACATCCTGTCCCTCTAGACAGCTGCCGAATGCGACCCCTGCCACACAAACACACACCCAGATGCACAGAATGCTGCGCCTGCCACGACTTCGGCAACGGCATCGCCAAAGTGCTGCGCCTGCCACGATTTCGCAACGGCATCGCCAAAGTGCTGCGCCTGCCACGATTTCGCACACCCCCCGCCGCGCGCGCGACAACATCCTGTCCCTCTAGACAGCTGCCGAATGCGACCCCTGCCACACAAACACACACCCAGATGCACAGAATGCTGCGCCTGCCACGACTTCGGCAACGGCATCGCCAAAGTGCTGCGCCTGCCACGATTTCGCAACGGCATCGCCAAAGTGCTGCGCCTGCCACGATTTCGCACGCCCCCCGCCGCGCGCGCGACAACATCCTGTCCCTCTAGACAGCTGCCGAATGCGACCCCTGCCACACAAACACACACCCAGATGCACAGAATGCTGCGCCTGCCACGACTTCGGCAACGGCATCGCCAAAGTGCTGCGCCTGCCACGATTTCGCAACGGCATCGCCAAAGTGCTGCGCCTGCCACGATTTCGCACGCCCCCCGCCGCGCGCGCGACAACATCCTGTCCCTCTAGACAGCTGCCGAATGCGACCCCTGCCACACAAACACACACCCAGATGCACAGAATGCTGCGCCTGCCACGACTTCGGCAACGGCATCGCCAAAGTGCTGCGCCTGCCACGATTTCGCAACGGCATCGCCAAAGTGCTGCGCCTGCCACGATTTCGCACACCCCCCGCCGCGCGCGCGACAACATCCTGTCCCTCTAGACAGCTGCCGAATGCGACCCCTGCCACACAAACACACACCCAGATGCACAGAATGCTGCGCCTGCCACGACTTCGGCAACGGCATCGCCAAAGTGCTGCGCCTGCCACGATTTCGCAACGGCATCGCCAAAGTGCTGCGCCTGCCACGATTTCGCACGCCCCCCGCCGCGCGCGCGACAACATCCTGTCCCTCTAGACAGCTGCCGAATGCGACCCCTGCCACACAAACACACACCCAGATGCACAGAATGCTGCGCCTGCCACGACTTCGGCAACGGCATCGCCAAAGTGCTGCGCCTGCCACGATTTCGCAACGGCATCGCCAAAGTGCTGCGCCTGCCACGATTTCGCACACCCCCCGCCGCGCGCGCGACAACATCCTGTCCCTCTAGACAGCTGCCGAATGCGACCCCTGCCACACAAACACACACCCAGATGCACAGAATGCTGCGCCTGCCACGACTTCGGCAACGGCATCGCCAAAGTGCTGCGCCTGCCACGATTTCGCAACGGCATCGCCAAAGTGCTGCGCCTGCCACGATTTCGCACGCCCCCCGCCGCGCGCGCGACAACATCCTGTCCCTCTAGACAGCTGCCGAATGCGACCCCTGCCACACAAACACACACCCAGATGCACAGAATGCTGCGCCTGCCACGACTTCGGCAACGGCATCGCCAAAGTGCTGCGCCTGCCACGATTTCGCAACGGCATCGCCAAAGTGCTGCGCCTGCCACGATTTCGCACGCCCCCCGCCGCGCGCGCGACAACATCCTGTCCCTCTAGACAGCTGCCGAATGCGACCCCTGCCACACAAACACACACCCAGATGCACAGAATGCTGCGCCTGCCACGACTTCGGCAACGGCATCGCCAAAGTGCTGCGCCTGCCACGATTTCGCAACGGCATCGCCAAAGTGCTGCGCCTGCCACGATTTGAGTGAGACGGAGACGAGCGGGAGAAGGAGGAGACGCGGCGCGCGGACGACGAGCGGAAAAAGTAAGAACCCCACACAAAGATGTGGGGAAAAACATATGGGCCCCCAACAAAATGTGTTCCTTTTGGTGTCCCTCCTCCAAAAAAATCACAGCCCATATGTTGCTTGACAGCCTTTTTGGGGTTGTCAAAGTCAGCATATGGGCTGTTTCCCCTACTTAGGGGGTGACTTTCATCATGGTAAGCTAGTGGGGCCAGTGACATGTAAGCGACGTCGGAAGTCTTCGGAAGTAAACTGAATCGCGGTCGGAGGAGGGTTTGGAGTCGATCTTTTCCCAAACCAAGAGGACACCCACTTTGAAGCTCCCCCAGAGTAAGCTAGCCTCGACGAGCGAAAGAAGAACACCTCTGGGCCCCAGTTGCCAGGCAGGGTGAGCCAAAAACCGCGCCAAGGCTCATGCGAAACGGCGAAAACCAGACACCTGTGGCCTTAATAAATGGACACACCCAAGAGAGGTGCCAAGAACCGAGGATCTTCAGAATCACTCCCAGTCACACCGAGCCCCTCGGAAGGAGCCCAGGAGCCCGGGCCGCATCGCCCCAGAGGTTGTGATCCGTATAGATGTCGAAGAGCTCACCGCCTGCCGCTGTGCCGCTTGCAGCACCCCTATCTCCGTCTCCTTGCCAGGTGTCCCTTGGACCACTGGGCCAGCCGACGGAAAATGCGTTGATTTTTTTGTCACAGCCACAGGGCTGAGTTGTCTTGTGCTCAAGTCTTGGCGTCCAGGTCCCCCCCCAACCCTGTTCCAATCATTTTGGCAATGGCAAACGAAAAGGCCATCCAAAGATCAATATGGTCGGATTGACTGCGCAACATGTTGTTTTTTGGTGCTGAGCTGCCAAGCCAAAAGCAAACACGCCCGGTATTTGCACCCTGGAAAAAGTCCACGCGACTTTCAAAAGGGAGCCTCCAACTTGGGGACTTTGAGATTTTCAGCGTGTGGAAGCACGACAACCTCCCCAAAAGCACCAGAGAGGGAGTGTTGTTCACATGTTCTGAACCCAGTTGAGCGTCATCCCATCCCAAAAATCATACTCTTTAAGTTGGCCCCAAGAGTGATGCGCAACACATGGGAAATTCACCCTCCCAGCATCCACCATGTCATGAAATCCATCAGGGATTAGCCAGTTTAGCTCGTAGCCTCCCTCTATCTCTCCCAATAGAGGGACACCCTAGAGCACATGTTGACCCAGGATTAATAACCCGCCCCATTACTAGGGGGGTGTTTCCTCCAACAGTGATGAATCCCCACTAAAAGGGGACACCCCTTGTTAATCAACCAGGGGTTTATTAATCCGGGGTTAACATTAAACCTCTTGAAGGGTCCTCAAAACAAGAGGGTCAGAAGGTGTCCTGCCCGGCCAGAAGCGCACTTGACCCGAGCTTATACCCAGGTAAAGCTTCTAAACCCTGGACTCGAAATGGGCAAACCCAGCGGGAAGTGAAGAAGGACCCCTCCCCAAAATCTTTACCGCACCTAGGGCGGCCTCCAGCAGAAGGTACACCTGGGCGCGCGGCTTCAACCAAGTCTGGCGGTTACGCAGCAAACACGCATGTTGACCGCAGAATTTGCAAGTTGTGGATTCCTAGATAGCCAAGTTGCTGCTTTTTTCAGTCGCTGTTGCTAGTTTTTGGGGTAAAGTGCATGGGAAAAAGCAGCAACTGGCGATCAGGTTATGCTTGGTGTTTTGGTGTCTGTTGTGCCTGCTGAATCCCTTGCACGGCAAGAGCTCTTGTGACAATGTGCCGAGCTCCTGAGCAGCCATCAAACGAAACTACAGCTCCATGCCCACACAAAAACCGATCAAAACCGATCAAAACCGTGGTAAATGAAAGTAAATTAGAGGGTTCACTTGTTCTAAGTTGCCCAAAGGGCCTGGAACTAAAAAGTGATCACCTTTTGGGGGCATGACTAGATATGGACCAAAATAGAAAAAACAAAAGGTCATTTCAGGTCGATTCGCTTTGAACAACTGAGCGTTCCCTTACTTGCAATAAAGCAGGAGCATCCACCGTAGCCTCTTCGACTCCCCTGAGAGCCCTTCCGGACATCTGAACCCAAAGGGGGCGCTTTCTGAACCCCAAGTTGGACGCTGGGGCCACTGGCAGCTGCGCACCGCAAACTGTTTTTCTGCACCCACAAGTATATACGCGGTACCACCTGACAGGAAAACTTGGCAAAGTGGCCCAGCGCACCCCCCTTGCACCCAGCCCCACTCCTGCCAGACAGAGCTGTTTGGCACAGAGAGAATGGTCCACATGCCCAAATCATCCAACCTCAACGGTACGTCCAAATACCAGCGGATTCACCAGGAGATCCTCCCAAAAAGCTGGGAGCTGTGATTTGCCAGCTTTTTATCTGGCCCAATTGCGTGCGTTTCGCCACCGAACCCCCGCAAAGCCTCCTCAAAGCCGAGCTGCGCTGTGCTCATCATGGTAGCAGCCGAACAAGTTCACCACAAAGGCGCTGTCCTTCGAGGGATCCGATTTAATTATTAGGGAACCGGGCGCGAGGTTCAATGCAGCTCGCAGTCTAACAGGGAACCGAACCTTTAACCAACCCACATTTGTCCAGACATCTCGATTTGGGGGACTAAAGGAAGAGTCACCCCCGAAGGAAAGCATCTGGGCTTCCCAAACGGAGTAGAAACAGGCCTAGGCTTGATCAAACGCGTGCCATGTCAAAACTCCTGTGTGAGTGCATGATTCCTTTTGCTTTATGGCTGTACGACCAGCTTGTTCAAGGGTTGATGGCTTCCCCTAGTAAGCCCAAGTAAGTAGCCCTACGTGGCGCATGCACGGCTTTTCTGCCCGTCCAGCTGCATGAGCACGCTTCGCTCGTTCTTGACCATACTCTCTTGCTTTTCCTGGCCCAGCTGCCGGATTCGTCCACGTGCGACGGATCGTCTTCGGTGCCCATTACTCCTAACCTCAGTTTCCCATCCATCTACACGAAGGGATTCAGATCTCATCCAAACCACCAATTAGAGGTTCAAATCCCCATCAATGAAGGCTTAATTAAGGGTTCACCTGATACCCCAAGAATCGAACTTTGAACAAGCGACCACGGCATGGCCAAACCTCGGCCGTGCCCAGGCGTTTCCCCAGCGAGAAGCAAGATGCCAAACCCGAACGGAGGAGCTTCCCCAAAAAAGTGAAGGGTGTCCTCCAAAAATGGAGCAACTCTCATGGCTGAGGCCAAGGCTTCATTGAATCAGTGTCACCAGAATTCGGCGCTGTTGCTCCCCAAGCGCATCTCACCAAACAACTGCAGGCCCTTTTTGAACCAAGCGGCATGCCTTGTGTGTCTCTGTTCCGCCTTTGCCCAGCCCCTCCACTCATCTGCGTGTGGCTCCCCTCGCACCGCTTTTTCCAACGGCCCTTGGGGTTTGCTTGGCAGCAGGTCAAACTTCTGCGCCTTTCGCGCCACTGGGACGTTCTGCGGGCAGACTTGGCCCAGGATGCATCGGAAATGACGTGTTATTATTATTAGCATTATTATTATTATTATTATTAGTAATATTATTTATTATTAGTATTACTATTATTATTGTTGTTATTTTTTATTAATATTATTATTATTACTATTACTATTATGATTATTATTGTTATTATTAATTATTATTATTATTATTATTATTATTATTGTTATTATTATTATTACTATTACTATTATGATTATTATTGTTATTATTAATTATTATTAATATTATTATTATTATTACTATTACTATTATGATTATTATTGTTATTATCAATTATTATTATTATTTGTATGATTATTATTATTATTATTATTATTATTATTATTATTATTATTATTATTATTATTATTATTATTTGAGCTTTGCCAAACCCCAAAAAGGACAATATATGGGTCTGAATTCTAATTGGGACCCTGTGGTGGACATCATTTAGTTGAGGATTCATGTCCACCGACCACTTTTGTGGTGGTTCCCTGTGAAAATTCATAGCCATATGTTCTAATTTAGGAGCCCCCAAAGGATTTTCCGAAGGCCAGCGACTGCATGCCAGTCTTGACTCGGCTGCTGGGCTCTGCTCGGTTTCTCATCGCGGCAGAGCCGCAGCGAAATCCGAGCTTGGCAAACCGTCTCCAAGCCCCCCGAGTGCCAGGGAACTGCCGCAAAGCGCCCAACCGGCACGAGCACGAGCACCGAGACCCGCAAGAGGAGGGGAGGATTTCGGGCTCGGAGTCTGCTCAGAGCTTTCTGCTTGGCAGAAACCCACGAAGGTGGCGTGCTGAGCTGCGGCGAAATCGCAGTGCGGACCTTTGCCGCATGTGACGTGGGATTGCGTGGCTGGCCGATTGGAGTTGTGCCCCAACCCCATGGTGGCGATGTTTGAAACCATCAAGGGGGAGAAGATAGGGAATCCCGACTTGGGTGATCCCGACTGATGAATGGCGAACGCCATGCCCGCAATACCCAGACCCGAGACGTCTGCTCGAGGTACGTGCGCAACGCCCGTGCACTCCGAGCCCCAAAGCCGACACTTCCAGGGGACTTCAGGGGGGTTGAGCCTCCTTAAGGCCCTGGTTTCGGGCGCTGCCTGAAAACTGCGTGTCCGGGTGAAACCCACTCTACCTCAGCGACGCAACGAGCAGGGCCCTTTCATGTGCATCCCCTCCCCCACTGAGTTCACTCCCCGAAACCCCGCAGATTCCTGGAACCCCACCCAAGATGTTCCTCCGACCACTTGTGGGGGAGAATCCTTCACCAATCGGAAAACCCGAGACAAGCAACCCCGTCAAGAAGAGCCCAATGCAAAAATGCTCTAAAGCATGAAGGTTCAAGCGCCTTCGGCAAGGCATCCGGCATAGCCACGGTTCCCTGAATGGGACTGCTTGCAACCCCATGGCAAACCCATATCATCCAGCCGGGCTTGCGCAGGCACCCGAATGCCCAAAATTATGCTGCCCTTCCGATGCCGGGAGGAAGGGAAGGAACCGTCTTCCTTCCTTTCTGTTTGGGGGGGGGGGGGGGGGGCTCGAAAGGCCTTCAGTAAGGCGCTCCAAAACCTCAGGAACCCGCCCCTGTGCCAAAGTATCCCCATGCAATCACTGGGGAATCGGATTCCCCAGAGCAAGCCCAAAATCAGAAGGAGCTCCCAGGAGGAACATTTTTCTCGGCCCGCTGCCGGAGCTATCCAAATTTACACCCCCCCCCCCAAAAAAAAAATAAAAACGAAACCAAAGAGTGGCCGCCGGAAGGGTTAAATGGCCGCACCCCCCCCCAGCTCGCTGAAATGACTGCGCTCAAGCTGGGAAAATGACCTGGGCGGGCTGCCCGATCGAAATTCTGCGGGAACTGGCTTGCCCACAACCCAACTTGCGCCTGGAAACTGCGGCACTTCTGTTTCTGACCGAAACCCCCCCCCCCAAACTTGAGCCCAGAAACCCATGGCCTACCCGAGGAAGGCGGGGCTCTCATTCACCGCCCCCGCCCGAACGGAGCCGATCTGCGGCAGCTCCTCCAGAGACGCCACCTTTGCCTGGATGAGGTCCATGGCTTCAGCCAGCCTTCCAGTGCGGCGGTTTCCACTTGGTCTTTGTATTCTTTTAGGGGAAACCACGTTGGAGAGCGGCGAACTCCAACCCAAGTATCAAGGTGCACACTCAGACCAATGCATTTGAACAATACCATATTGACATCGTAGGTGTCCTTTTAGGGGAAATAGATGGATTTCCCTGGTAGATGAGAAGAAACCACCAGGTAAACCAGGAGTCGCCATCTATTTCTCTAGCAAAACAACCAAAAAGGACACCTATGTTACCGCCGTTTTTGAGAATGCGCTGAGTGTGCAGGTCATGCAGGGCAACATGGTCTGCATAAGCTGAGTTCAATGCTGTTCTGCGGTTCAGATTCCTGAGATTGCTCAAGACCCAGACCACCGCATGGCTGGGCTCACAGGCACTCCCACACAGACACTGGCCGTCACTGGCCTGCCTGACACGGCCCAGCACACCCAGACCCGTATCTGACCTCTTCGTATCTGGCCTGTGCCCGGACGTGCGACCACACAGACACGCAGACCCCGAAACCCACACGAACACTCAGACCTGGACCTCTGTGCATCTGGCCCAAACGAAAAGGCCTGGACCATCTCGTATGTGGCCCTGCCCAACTAACATGATTCCCAGAAAGGGGGACCAAAAACCCACCTTTGCAAGGATTCGGATCCAGCAAATCAGCTGGCATCTGGGTGATATATATATATATATCTGTATACATACATATATATATATATATATATATGTATTTATTTAATTTATTTATTCATATATTTATTTAATTTATTTGTGTATTTATTTTAACTGTCATCCAAATGTCTACGACCCTTTGAGTTACGGCATGGCTAAGGGTCCCCCGCAGACCCGCAGACCGACCCGCCTCTCGGGTATGTCCTCGGCATCCACCTTCAGCAGCGTCCAGCCCTTCATCACCCCCAGGCCTCGGGAAGTCGAAACCTCCGGCGGTTCGCCGCACCCCGCAGCCGGCCGACCGAAACCGACGAGCAAGAAGACCAGACCTGGAACACCCCGCAGCCAAACAGCCAAGCAGCAGGCCCAGCTTGAGATGGATTGAGAATCTCGCTTCAGTTCTCCACGGCATGGTCCAAACCCGAGAAAAAAAGAAGGAAAAAAAACGACTTCCGCAAGTCAAGTAAGCATCGAATCCAGGCCAAGCCGGTCCGAAATGAATGGGGAGACTAGGGGAATGCCTGCGGCCAGGCGGCGCTCGCTGTAGGAGCCCGGCCGCACGTGCTTGACGCGAAAGGGCACCTCGAAATTCCGGTCATGACCGGATATATGGCAAAAAAAAAAAAAACGGTACCCAAAATGAGTTGCCCTGGTGAAGTGGAAACACGGACCAAAACCTGCGTGACCCCTCCTGTTTAATTTTCAGCCACACCCATATCCCAGTCCGGTTTTCGAAAGCGAGACCAGGGTTTCTCGGGTCGCCTGGGTCGAACCCCGGCTCAAACACCGGGTTTCTCATATCCCTTTCAAACATCACCACAGGCAAACTCAACCAACATTGACGCAAACAAAACTTGGCGCTTGGACCACCACACAAGCCAAACGCATGAGGATTCCTCCCCCCCTCCTTAACAAAAACGAAAAGGCGGGAGTGTTTTTGGAGAGTACCCAGTTTGGGGCCAGTGGAAACGGAAACCAAAGGACTATCTACCATTTCGGGCGTCCTGCTTTGACACATACTTTAAGTTTGCCACGGGATGTTCGGATTTGAGGCCAGCGCCGACTTGGTGAACATGATGCCCCATGGCTGGTACTGAAAGTCCAGATCGAACTCCTGGCCGGATGCGCCAAAGCAGAGAGCTCAGGGTTGGCTTGCCTTCGTGCTTAACCAAACCTCCTGCCTTTTGCTAAGGGGAGAAGGGGGCATGGCTTGAGCGCAAAAGGATCAAGGCGACCTCAGGGCTCCAGCCCTTCAGCCCTTCAGCCCCTCAGCCCCTCAGCCCCTCAGCCCCTCAGCCCCTCAGCCCCTCAGCCCCTCAGCCCCTCAGCCCCTCAACCTGGCCTGGCTCTCTTCACCGGAGACGAGGAACTTCAGCACCACCTCTTGGTTGACGTTGGGTTTGGGGAGCAAAAAATTAATAAAACTTTAGCAGTTAAGTGGATTTGGATTTCCCGCAAAACCACAATCAGCAAAAATGCAAAATGCATCCCAACAACAACCATGCCTTAGAGCCCACATCCCAGGTCTGTTGCACTAGGGAAGCAATCTCAATGAAAATGCACGGCTGTATGCCCGCCCAGTCGCCCGAAATCGCTTGCGCCCCCAGCCACTTTCTGGCTAAAGGCATTTTCCCCAGCCGACCGCCAAAAAAAGCCCAAAGAGAGGTATAGTTACTACCCGAAGTTCAGACTGGGCCTGCTAAAGTGACACCCAAGTTATCCGCAACTGACCCAGGCAGCCCACCCGCGCCTTTTGCTGCTTCGGCTCCTGACCCACCCACCCAAGAGATTGGACGTGCGTGTTGTTGCTTGTTCTTGCCTGTTTGTGAGGAGTCAGGGCTCCCTACATTTCACCTTAAACATCCCCACCAAGAGAAACTGCGACCCCAGCAAGCCAGTGGTTTTCTGGCTCGCCTTTGCAGAGAATCACGCCAACTTCATATGAAGACGCGCCAGAACTCAAAAGGCTTTTGGAGGAAACCAAAGAGCAGCTGAACCCCATCGCACCGGTGGGTGCAAAGGAGGGGGCTTGGGCAGCATCTACAAGCCTCTTATCCCAAATCCAATTCTCGGACCGGATGCCGACTAGTCAAATCACCAGGGTGACTTGGGGTGGTCATTGGCCCGTGCCAATATTAGGGGCTGGCAACGGTAAACCTAAGCCCAAAAAGGCAATTCTGTCCTTTCGTGACCAGAAATGAACCCCGCCGATTGCTAAGACAAGTCCCACCAAGGGTTGGCGGCAAAAATCCAGGTTCTGCAGATTTGCATATACGTGGCCCATCCCCGCAAAACGGGTTAAGCTCTTGATCGCACTCTTGGTCCACCCTTGCCCCACGAATCACGACTCCCCCAACCCCTCCTGCGGCAGCAGGCTGGATTTGGCCTGCATCAGGGAGAGCCTCAGCACAGCTGGTCGCATTTCAAACGTGAACGGCATTCCGCATGGGGCGGAAGGGGGGGGGGGGGGAAGGGGCGGGGCTGTTGCAGGGAGGAGGGGAGCCTCTCGCTTCGACCCATTGCAGCATTTAGGAACAAGCCCTGCAATGCTCGGTCTACATGCAAGAGGTTCCCAGCCCTTTACATAGCTTCTGATCCGGTTGATTCACTTGGCAAGTAATTTTGGGCTCATCCCCTCTTTCCAATTGCGCATGGAACCCCCCCCCCTCCATGTCGGATGTTGATTCCCTCAAAAAGCCAAAGACAAAAGCAAAGCAACCAAAAACCACCAAGGCACTCCTTGACCTTGGATGGCTTTTTTCTCAGCCTTTTGCCCCACAAAGATGTGCTTAGAATAACATACACATATATATACACACATATGGCACCCCCTAATTTTGACACAAAATCCAAGAAGCCAACAAAGGCAACAAAACACTGGAAAAAATACAGGTCAAACGCCCCAAACCAGGGTCCCCCTCAGGGGGGGTGCCGCCTATATATATATATACTTATATATATAGATACACACACACACATATATATATAGGCTGCGACTTTAAAAAGAAAATGGAAAAAAGGCCAGATATCTATATCTCTATATAACTCTATATATATATATATGGATAGTCTGCTTCCATTTATTTAATAAAAAAAGGAAACAGAGAAGAAGAAGAAATAAGAAAAGAAGAAGACGAAAAAAGGAGAAGACACAAAAACCGGCCACAGGCCCAGTCTCCAAGGCGCAGAGACCCAGGGGTGCGGATGCCATCCACTGCACGCACCACCTCAGGCAAGTCCGCCAGGTGCCCCGGGTGCCCCAGGTGCCCATGGTGAGAACCCAAGGGAAACAGACCCCTGTGACATAAAACAGACCCCCAATGTGACATAAAAAACAGACCCCCAACCAAAACCTCACAAAAAACCTCTCAAAAAAAAGAATGTTTTTTTTGTTTTTTTTTCACGCAAGACGCAGGGCTGGGGACATTGGCCTCTCATAGTGAAACCCAAGTCACAGGGGAAAATGCCCACCTTTCCCAGGGAAAACCAAAAGAGGTTTTCCAAAATGAAGGGAAGGGGGGGAAAAATGAAGGGAAGACCAAAATCGGGGGAAAATCAGAGGAAACCAAAATCAAAATGAAGGGAAAGGAAAGGGAGGGGAGGGGGGGGGTTCCTCATGACAAGCGCCGCGAGAAAACAGCAAGAGACCTTTGCAAACCGTGCGTGCCGCAAAAAAAAAGAGGTTTCACATTGTTCACACGTTTTTGCCCCGTCTGGCGAACTGCAAGAATCGATTCTGCGAAAGTTACTGGAGTTCCCTCGCTTCACGTGCCACCCGGAAATGACAGTTTGGCCTTTATGGCCTTTGGGCAACCCAAAAGGTGAAGCCTGGGTTTGTTCAAAGGTGTGTGTGTGTGTTTTGTTTTTCTTTGCGGAACCCCAAAATGGTGGCTGTCCTGTTGGATTAAAAACCCTCAAGACAAGCCACTCAGGTCAACCTCCCGGACAAAAAAAACATGGAAGCCAGCAAAAATAAAAACAGAAACTGGTTGCTGCTGACCCCTCTGCAAGAAGATTTCAACTTTTTAGTGGGTCCAATGGAAAAAAACACTTCCCAAAAACGTTCAAGTCCGGTCCGTTGCCACATAGCCATCAATACAGCAATGCAGGGAAAGAAGACTGGAAAAGAAATCCGTTGCCAAATGGCCATAAAGTAGAAGGAAAACTACAGGCCCCTTGAGGAAAAAGCTTGCTGGTGCGATAAGAAGGGAATGTGGTTGAATGAACCCAAAGATTCCCAAATCAAGGAAACCACCAGTTGGATGTGTTTTTTCTCGGGGTCATTCCAATTCTCATCCTCTACTTCTCGCACCAGCAAGAAGATGGGAGATGGTTCAGAAGTTGTTAACGAAAAGCCATATCTGTGGGTTGCTCAAACAGACCCAGCAAGCACCAGCAAGCACCAGCAAGCACCAGCAAGATATTGAGGGAGAAGTCGCAGTCCCCCGGGGTCATATACCAACTCCTTCCCTCGCACCAGCCAAAGAAAATCCAAACGAAAAAGCTCCGAACCCAGAGATCCCCTTAAAAAGAAACCACCACTTATCGCACCAGCCCCAAAAAAAGAAATCCGGGAAAAAAGGGAGAAAAACAAACAAGAAAAATACCCAAAAAAAACTTCGACATAAAAAAAGAAACACGATGGCCGAGACGCCCAGTTCACCTTCACCTCCGCCCGGTCTGCTGGGCTCATGAGCCGCACCCGCTGCACCACGATGGGCTCCTGGCCGCTGCAGTCCATGCCCAAGGGCCGGTACTGGAAGATCACATCCTGCTGGCTCCAAACGAAACATGCGGAAATTGCGGAGGTCCAAAACGAGGAAATGGAGGGACGTCCTGAACCTCCAAAGGAAAAATGGCCAGGGAGGGTCCGATTTTTTTTATTTTTTTTTAATAGGTCCTAAATGTTGAAGGTTTAAACAAGGTTTTGGGTGGGTTTCTAGAAAGAAGGATCCCTGGAAAGAATGGGGAAGCTACCCTTTGAAAAAATACGGAAATGGTCCAGGTCCAAAAAAAAATGGAGGGATAGACTTTAGGGAAGAACCACAGGTGATAGACTTTAGGGAAGAACCTGCTAGGGGTTGACTCCTTTTCCATTCCTTTCAACCATCGTTTGTTTCAAAAACCAGCTGTTTTCCCAGGGTTTTTGGTGGCTTTCTAGAAAGAAGGATCCCTAGAATGGGGAAGCTATCCTTTGAAAAATGCGGAAATGGTGGAGGTCCAGAAAGAGAACATGGAGGGACTTTTCTGTGGTTTCTTAGACTTTAGGGAAGAACCACGGGTGTCCTTTTGGCTGATAGAACCGATGGAAAACAAATGGCCCTGGTACATGGGGAGCAAAAAACCGCATATGGGGCTAGAACCAATCCAAACCGGTGGAACTCATCGATTTCCAGTCCCAAACTAACTGATCAAAGGACACCTATGGTCCGGGAAGGTCTTGTTTTCCGGGCATCCCTCTGGGGCAGAAGGTTTCAACTGAAACCAAACGGAAAAATACATCACAATCTCGGGGTGGACCCCGTGTTCACCGTATTTCCGACATATACCCACAAGGTCCATGTGAAACAAATGAAGTTGAGCCTCCTTCAAGCAAAGGGTGCCCTCCCCCCAAAAATATATATATATATATATATGCACTCCTAGAAGGGTGAAACGGCATGTGTCAAGAAAGCTCCCAAAGTGGGCGTCGGTTTGCTGGTTGGAAGGGGAATTTTGCCTGAAAGCGTTTCAACCAACCCAAGGACAAACATTGGAAACCCTGACAGACACGCACCCGAATCCGAGTTCGCGCTGGGTCCACAACATATCCGCTTTTTCCTGGGCAAACCCAAGAAAACACCCCACCCGTCCGACCACCTGTTTGTTTGCTTTTTTTTGCGGTAAGCTGTGATTGGGCGTTGCTCATATCTGCGTCTCGCCACGGAATTGGCAGCATGAGCAATGCGCACAACCCCCATCTGTGGATCATGGCGACGGTTCCCTAGGGCCCATGTCATACCATCCAACTTCCCTTGGGCTGCTCCAAATTGGAGGAGCGGCCCACCCATGTTTTTTTTTTCACTGGCTATGAGGACCCAGCCCATTTCCGGGCTTGCGCGTGGCTTCAACCCCCGCGATTTCAAGAAGTCCGCCGCGGCCCAGCCTTCTCAGAGCCATCCGGGCGCTCGAAGGTGACGATGACTTTCCCTCCCCTCAGGCCCAAATGCATCATGCGCTGCTTCAAATCGCCATGGTGCGCCCCCCCCCCCCACCCCCGACGCTCAAAAAAACAAACAAACCATACCCAAAGTCTACTGCCTCGTCTTCCTGACCACTGTGCAAGCAAGCTTCAAGCTGCCAGTCCCCCCCCCACCCCCCCGCCCCTTGGGCCCAGCACATGGAACTGTCAGGCGATTCCCCCCGCACAAAACAAACGCCTCCTAGCTGGAGAAAACATCAACAGCGGAAACAAAAATGCAGAGAACGCCTCAGGCCCCCTTCTCCCCGCCCCAAAACCTTTAAAAAGAAAGAGACCTCTGGACAACCAGCGTCCTGGGCTTCGAACTCCGAACGCCGAGGGGCTTGGCCAAAGAGTGCGGTGGCCGCGGGGACTCCTGCGTCTGATCCTCGGCGAAAAGTCCCCCCGGAAAGCATTCCTGCGCCCCAAATTTTTGGCGCATCACACAATTCCCTCACAAATTAGCAACTGCCCCAAAATTATGCGGTGGTGAGCTCCTCTTGTTTTTTGGCAGTTTGCGATTTCAGGTTCCTTTTGGTGTTAGCCGACAAGGCTTACCTTGCCCGAGCTTCGGTATCGAGGCGAAAAGAAACGGCACCAGGTCTCATTGAAGGTCCGACCTAAAGTTTGGCACCATCCGGAAACTCCCCCCCCCCAATTTGAGTGTGCAACACAATCGGGTATGGGTCAAATTACACCAGGACAGCAGGCTTGAGTCCTTGGTTCCATTTGGCAGGGCAACCCATTTGATCGCATCGGCCATTCCTTGGCCCAGCGTCCAGGCCCAGAATGCCCTCCTCGCGCAAAGGGTCCGGCTTCAGCGCGTAGATACTCTCCACCGCATCCCCGGAACCAGCCTCCGTCCGACAGGGGGTTCGATCGGAAACGCGGCCGGAGCAAAGAGACGCTGAAGCCGGAGAGATACCGCTGTGTTCTTGGGCACGCCTTTTCCGAACTAACTTCCCAGCCGCGCAAGCTGAAGGGTACGGCTGGCACAAACGTCCGATTCGTTGCGCGAAAAGAAGCCGGAAGGGCCCACTAGGTTTAACTGCCCGATCAAATCTCGGGATGCGGCCATAAGCGCACACCTGGGGCCCAACTGTTGAAACGTAACGTACCTTACATACTCACCCCACATGACCGTCTCTCCCATCCAAACTACTCTCTGAATGGGGTCCAGTTCCGCGTTTCCGGCCACTGCCGAGCTTTTGGCGTGCCAAGAAAATGGCGCTTGCGAGAGCGCCCAACTTCAAAGCTCCAGGTGTATTCAGTTCCGGGCGTGCTGGTGTCTCTGTTTGAACCCTGGCGGCTTGAGTTTTCGGTGAGCATGTGTACAAAGGTTGCATGTACATCCACGCGTGCACTTCCCAAAAACATCGCGAAAGCCAAGTCTCCTTTGGATGGTTTTCGACATTCGCTCCCCCCCTCAAGGTTTACAGAGCCTGGAGGTTGTCCAGCCACTTCGCTTCCCAAAAGCATCTCAACCCGCTTCGAAGCCCCGCCTCGCAGCAGCACATCATCACTCCCCCGAAGGCCCAAAGCGTCCCGAAACCGTCGCCCCTTTTGGCCGCCTGCCCTAAGCGCTGTTTGACGCCCTAAGGGCGGTCGAACGCCCACGTCTGAGGTCAAAACGGCTGCGCAAGGGCGGAGGGCATGTCGCCGGCTCAAAGAAGGCTCTTTGTTTGAAATGACCTGGTTGGGTCCGGCCAATGACTTGTACAGGAAAGGAAACCCCGTGCTCAAATAGCCTACACGTTCGTGGGGATATCCCACCGCCACACCTTGCCATAGAATTCTTCGCGGTCCCATTTCCAGAGGGATCCTTAACATCTCACGCGGGATGCCCAAAGAATCCATCAGCGCCGCCTGCGCCAGGTGCTGCTTGTCCAACCTCTTCAGCGCCTCAGAAACTGTCGCTCTCTCGCCGCGAGCACTTTCGCAGAAGCCAACCACCGCACACTCAGCGCACACAGCGCACGCAGCGCCCACACACACACACACATGCGTTCCTACTGCTCCTTTTTGTCATCGCATTGAAAGCGCCTTTCCGGCTAGAGCTGTGTGCTTCTTGCCGCAGCCCCCCTCCAGCAATCTGTCTGTTTTAAAGGTACCTTTCTGGGACTTCTTAAAGAACACTGAGGGATAAAATCTGCTTTTGAGGGTTGCACTATGTTGATACAACCTTTGTCTGTTTTGTCTGCAGGGCCTGTGCCTGTGCGGCAACATGGCAACTGCGGCATGAAGCTCGAGCAACTTGGACACGAGCAGCGGCCAAGTTCTCCATGCAGCTGTGAAGCAACCGGGATCCTTTCATTACACACCTTGGTTTCCATTTATTTTGATGGAAAAAACATTCTTCAAATGGGAAAAAGGTATCTTTTAAGGAGCCCTAAGCAGTCCAATGAAATCTGGGTTGGGAATGCTCTGGTGTTCGCGCTTTTGCTCGAAGAATTGCCCACCTGGAGTCAAATTGCGGCTCCTGGTATATTCGGGGATCCAAGACAGTACCTGGTTCCAGTCTGGAAAAGTAGACACGTGGAGGAACCTCATGATTTCTTTTATGGTTTCTGGTTATGCGTGTCACACATCAGGCCTGCTGGAGCAGGGGGGTCCACACACACACACACTGCCCGTTTTGCTATCGCATTGAAAGCGCCTTTCCGGCTGCCGAACCCTGCAGAGAGTCAAGATGACACTGGCCACTGCCAGTGTCATCTTGACAGGGAATCGGGCCTCAAAAAAAGGTTCCACGCCAATTTTTAGGGAGCTGATGGACACTGGCTACCAAGCTGCAATTTCCTGTGACTGGCCAAGCGCAACCGGGCCCACAATTTGCCCACCATCCCCCGCGTCTTCTCTCAAAGTTGCGCCCCTTCCACCACCCCACTCATGGGCACAAGACATCAGCCACCGCCATGCTCCCAACCCCCTCAGCTCCGGTAGTTTGGGATGGTACATCCTTGGCCTGCAGAAAGAAAGGAAGGAAGAACTAAAGAAAGAAAGGCAAAAATGGGAGGCAGCCCCCCCCACAGATTGTTCAGTCCCAACAATTACCTCAGGGCTGGGCGTATTCCCGGGCTTGGTCCTCCTGACAAGCGACGAAACCCAAAACCGATCCGCTTTCCGTGAGGAAAAAAAAAGGCGCGGCGTGGGGTTCAAAGCGGCGGCTCAATCTCAGCCAAGGTGTGTCGGGTCAATGGCAACTCTTTACTCAGTTGCCCCTCAGGGACTCAGAAGTACAGAACCAAAATGTCTTTTCGGGTCGATTCGCTTTTGGCATGTGAGAGCGCCCAGTTGCCAAGCTGCCGGTCTGGCAAAAAATATCCCAGGGACCTTCATAGGTGAGATTGTTGCAAAAACCGCCCCATGTGAGCACATCACGCTTGGAGAACTGGGCAAATGAATGAGCCGCAAGGGTTTTTTCCCCCCACACGCCCTAGGAGTTTGGGGGACTTGCCGCGCATCTCCCCATCTCCCCTACAAATTCACATGGAACCCAAGACGAATCGATTCTCTGGAAATGGCTGTGGATCTTCTGGCTTCCAGCTTCATTTGCAGGGGAGTAACCCTTCTTCGGTTCAGATTGATGCTGGGATCTGTTTTTTTCTTGTAGAGGGTGAATTGGACACCACCCCTGATGATCCAACTAGGTCCCCAAGTAGAGAGCTTAGAATACTGGTGCCCCGTTTTCTGTCGTCTATTTTAGCAGGGAACCCTCCCGTCCCCCAAAAAAAAGGGGTAGAAGGGCACCTAGCTGGGGGGACCTCTCCAAGCCCCCGGGGCGGCACGGATCCCGCCTTGTCCCGCATGAGCAACACGGAGCCGAAGCTGCCTTCCCCGAGAGCCCCCACCTCGGTGCAACTCGCTCGCGCCGTGCTCGTGGCTCTCGCGTGTTCTGACTGTCGTATTTGTTGCACGTGTGTATTTCTACGCCTATCTGTCTTAGTTGTTTCTGAGCTTCTCGGTTGTTTCTGAGTTTCTTAGTTGTTTCTGAGTTTCTTGTTTGTTCTCTCTCTCTCTCTCTCTCTCTTCGCTCTCTGCCGTTGCGTCCAGAGGGTCTTGACTCAGCAAGGCAACGAAAAAGGTGCCACTTACTTGTTGCACATATGAAACAATGTATTTCTGTGTTTCTTTGTCTTTATGTATTTCTGTCTTTCGTTCCTTCCTTCCAGCCTTCCTTCCTTCCTTCCTTCCTTCCTTCCTTCCTTCTTTCCTTCCTTTCTGTCTTTAATTCTCTCTTTCAGGTTCTGCCGTTGTATGCAGAGGGCAGCTTGGACCTCCGGAGAGCCAGCCTCACCGTGCGCTTGCTTGGCCAGGCTGTCTGCTGGCAACCTGAAAACAAACCCGAAGCTAACACCCAGCTTTCTTAGTGCACAAGATACAGGACTAGACATGGCATTCCGTGTCTCCAGTGGACAATCTGGTCGCAAGATGCCAAACAGCTCCACAACACCTGGGTGCTAGCAATGGAACTCCAGCCTCTTCCAGCCTCCCCGAATCTGCTGAGGGGTGAATCAGGGACCTTTGAAGAAAAACTGGAGGAAACTCTGCAGCCAACATGCGGATAGGCCGTTGGCGTGCCCTCGAAACATGATAGGTTTGGGTGCGTGGACCCCGCTGATGTGTCTGAAAAGCATGGGGAACTCACAAAACGTGCTTTTCATGTGGCGTCCCTTTAAACAACAACTTGCCCGAAGAGGAAAGAAAGTTCACCTTGCGGAACTGTGGGCCAAAAGGACGGCCTCAAGAAAAGAACCGCTCATCTCAGCTGCCCAGTGGCCATGGCAAAAGAAGGGGCATCCCTTTTTTGGTTGGTTGAGCTTCAGGGGAACCCTGCCCAAAAAAAACAAAAAAAGAAAACGAAATCCACTGGGCCGCCAGGGTTCCGCTTTGCGATTGCGGAAGACTTGCCCCAAGTTGGGGGCCCTGCAATGGTGCAGTCCTGCGGCCCCCAAGAAGCACCCGGGACGCTGGGGCACCCTCCGGGGAAATACTGCAGATGGACGAAATCCATGTCGCACCACCCAAGAAACCATGAGATGCCACTCCTCCATGCGCTTAAGTCCCCTGGAAAAAAATACTACTATGCCCACTAGTGATGGATTCCCCCAAAAAAAAACAACAGGTGAAAATTGAAAAACATTCTTAACCAAATGGAAGCACTGCTTGTTGGTATTTACGGGGGAATCATCATCCCGTGGTTTGGTCGGGGGCGCAGGATTTCGTCCATCCACAGGGCGTTGATCCGAATGCTTGAAGACGACCACGTGACCATGAGCCCTAGCTTCAAGGCAAATATCGCAAGAAGCCTGGCTCGGCATTTTTTGGGCCACCAAGCTCCCAGAGTGGTCCCCCATGCCCGAGGCATGCCCCAAACCCAAGCGCCCAAAACGCCGCGGCCTTCCCTGTTTCAGGTGGGGCTCGTCAGACTTTGGGGGGATCGGGTACTCTCACCAATGATCCGACGCTGCAGGCCCAGAACCCCTTGGCCTGGCGCTCCCACATCGAAAGGACGCTGCCCTGTGGCCCCCCTTTTTTTAGTCGATCCATGATGCCTCCGAGCAACAACCCCCGAGGCGCGGACAACCGTTGGAAGCATCAGGACAGGCGCGTCCCGGGGGAAAAAAAAGGAGGAGAGCAAAAAAAGAAGAACAGCTCCGGACCTCCGAGGCAACTCCCCGCAAGCCTCGAGATGAAAACGAACCCAAGGGGCACCAAGGCCTCCCACCCTCCCAAGGCTCCTTTAAGGAGGCACGGCGGTTCGTGGAGGGCCGCCTCAAATCCGGCCGAATCGGAACCCAATGGAAACAGATCCGGCCGAGTGGAAACTCTCCAGGACTGTGGGAAACGACAAATAAAGGATTCCCCAAAAAGGGATTCCCCAAGACTAACCCCCAATAAAAAGGGGGAGGGAGATTCCAACTTGTATCACAGAAGTGGTTGGATAAACCCCTTGATCCCACAGCCATGAAACTCTCAGATCTGCCTTTTGGTTCCGCTGGATTGGTTGCGGTGCTGAGCAACCCCGGTACCTCTCTCATCCTTGGCCTGCCTTCTTTGGGATGCTCCAAAAAGGGGCACGCTGGCCATGCCCTTTCGGGACACAAGTGCGCCATCTTGCCAGGACTGGAAATGAGTTTTGCGCACTTCGCTGGCCGGATGTAACTTCCACTTTTGGGTGCCCCCCCAAAAAAAGAAAGAAACAGCAACAAAGAACGGCAACCGAATATAAAACCGGCAAGTCCAAGTTGAAAACCAACATGTAACGACGGGCCAATGCCGCAGCTTCATTGCGTGCCCCACCTGGTGCCAACAAAAAGGGCGAATCTGCAACGGGCCCATCGAAATGCCGATGGAGACCCAAAAAAACAAAAAACACAAAAAAAGGAAGAGAAGCGGCGGCCTGTTGCAGATGCTCCACCGCCGCCTCTTCAGCCAGTGGCTCAGCTCCTTGCACGGATCAAGCGAGAACGTTCATAACCCCCGGTGGGTGGCCAGGGTGAACGTACTCTTAGGGGGGTGAAACACCCTGCTCAAAAGCCTGCGATCCGCCAAACATACAGTACGCCCCTTGCATATCCAGCTTCAATGCAACTTGGCAACTGTCAGGATATTCTCGGAGCTCATGCGGACGAGTTTTGGAGCCAGGCAGACCCCGTACACGGATGAGTACGGCCCCCTCGTGTTTACCGGGAAACCGTGCTTGAGGCACAAACACCCTAGGGACAGAAGCCTTCTTTGCAAAACCGTTGGTCAAATAGTTCTTTTTTTACACCGGCTGTAAGCGGGAAGCAAGGAGTTGTTTTTCTTCTGAACTTCTGGAGGGACTAACCGACTAAGCCCAGCGCCTGGTGGTTGCGGCCCACATCCTTCACCTGCTTCATGAGGGAGGCGTCCTGCACCAAATCGGACCCTGGGACCGCGAAGGAAGCGCCACATCGCGGAAGCGCCGAACCGCGAGCCCCTTCGAGCCGAATCGCCCTCCCACAACTCCTGGGAGGCGTTCATCGCCTCGGGCGATCGGCCGGGAAATTCAGCGGCTTTGAGCCTCCAGAAAGCTCGAGGGCTTCCGCTCAAAAAAGAATCGCCTTGGCCAGCATCCCCCTCCCTTTTGGCCTCTTGCAGGAGCCCCGAACACACTGCGCACTTACCCTCTTTCCAATAATCTTGCAAAACCGCTGTGCACTTCCATGGTGGCAACAACTTGCAGGCCTTGTTCATCTCGGCCAAGGGGGCCCGTTGAAGTGGCAACCACCCAGCTTCCGCTTCCCAACTTGGCGCTTGGGCTCTTTATCCCTTAAACAAAAACATATTTGAGCGGGCAATGCCATGGCGCTTGGGTTCTGTCTCCCTCAGACATAAACACTTTGAGCGGGACATGCCAGGCCCTGCTCCGGATCTGGACAACCCTGAACCAGCCACCCGCGACGCGCCATCCGCCTTTGGACTCGCTCGCGCATCTTTCTCAAGCGGCTCGCAGGCTCCCGGGCTCGTGAGCCGTTGGGTGAGAAACGCGCACCAAGGCGCGAAGTATCGCGCGCGTCGAACGGGCCCGGGGTTCGTTTGGAGACAAAGTGAACGCACCCTTGCAGGAACTAAAGCCGCAGCTGGGACAGATTGAGGCTTTCCTGAAGAGAACAAAGAAATACAAAGAACCTCTCCTTGTCGCTTTAATCTCGCTTGCAAACAGGTGTTTCTTCACTTGGCCAATCGCCATGTTTGGCACCCAGCACGATATCTCAAGCAAAGGTGCTAAATAAACAACGTCTGGAAAAAAAGAGAAATGTTCCATCCCTTGTCGGCTTCCTTTTGGAAACTTAAGCATTGCGGGCTATTTAGCACCAGGAAGGCAGGCACGCTGTCAGACCTGCTTCTTCAGCTCCACAACAAAGTCCTGGAGCCGACACAGAGCCAATTGTCCCTCCAACCTATTTCAGGGTTGAAACGCCCAGCTCATCGTTCATCATTGAAACGGGAGCCTCCGATTGAATTGAAAGAGATTGCGTAAGAGTTGACCCGCATGTCAGACTCTCAAGAGTCTGAACCATACTCCATGAGCCTTTGAATGTTCGCATCTGCACTTTCCGTAATTACCAGACCAGTTGTGCTTGTTAAGCGCCTGAGCCAACCAACATGGGTGGAGTTCTCTCGGCCAACGAATACAGAGAAGCTGCCCGCAGTTTCTTCTTTTGAGACTACGCCGTGAAAGTAGATTCGCAGAAATCCTATCATATGGCAAGCAAAGGTCATGACCACACCACGTGGGAGTTCCCTTCATATCGGCATGCGTCCAAAACTTAAGTCACCAGAAGAAAAACAACATGAAAAAAACAAGCAGGTTTTAGTCTCTGTTTCCATTTGCAAGCTTTCCATTTTGGGGTTACCCTATTTTGGCCCGCAGCCAAAGGATACGTAAAGGTCATCACACCATCTAAGAATGCCATCTGCTTCCGCCCAAATCCAAAGCAGCTCCTCGGCGAGGATTCGGGCCACCTCCCCCTTTCCGTGGGACTTCACCGCCCCGTTGAGCTTGTCCATGAGATCCTGCGCCCCAGGCTTTCAACCACTACAACCGAGAAATTCTCGGGGGGGGAACGTTTTAACCAAAGCAATCACATCGACATCCCATGATCCACCCCTCCTGGGTGCCTCTTGTTTTTTGGGGGTTGCCCCTTGTTGATGGCTTGAAGGAGAAGAAAACGATTGGAATACCGCCAATTTTGGGGGGTTTGATCTTGGGTGAGCGAGCGCCGACCACCACGTGGTCGGAAGGAAAGCGCGTAGCTCAGATTCGGTCCTTGAAGGCCGGGGTGGCACCTGACCATGAGGAAACACGAGGCTGCATCCCGCAAAAACAGACACAGGTGCTTGGTCACGTATACATTCAATATATGTGTGTGTGTACATATACATAGATATATTGTGCAGATTGTGTCTCTGCATTAGCACATAACACACACATATAAATAAATATATATATATATATATATACACATCTATATATATATATATATACACATCTATATATATATACATATATCTGCGTGTGTGTATGTACGCGTGCCTCTCTCAAATATATACACACACACACATATATATATATATATGTACATGTGTGTGTGTGTATGTGTACGGTTGTGAATGTGTATGTCTACGTGGGGGGTTGTTCACAATTTACTTTGCATTTTGCCTGGGGGCCCCCCAATCGCCGGCCAATCGCGATCCAATCGCGGTCCCACAGGGTCCAATCGCGGAGCAACGTTGGGCATCGCTGCTGTTTCTGTTTCAAGCTCCGCCGACTTATCCCAAGCGCTGGCCTTCCTCCATATAACTGGACAATGGAGGGAAGTGACGTAGCTCGGATGGGCTCGAGTTTTACCAACCGTGCGGCTCAACAAGTTGCAGCTGTTCATAAACTTTAGACAAGCAATTACGGACGGCCCCCACATGCGCACGTGTGAGCGTGCATATGACGTGCGTGCAAATAATACGCATCTAAAGAATGGGGTATCATGACATTTTCTCGGATAAGGCGCAGATTTTGGGAAAACCAGAAGAAACTGGCCGCTCAAACCTCGACGAAATCCTGTAGTTTCCCAGGGTTTTGACGGCTGTCTTGCATTATTAGGGGGGTGTTGCCTCCAAAAGTGATGAATCCCCACTGGAGGGGACAACCCCTATTAGTCAACCAAAGGTTTATTAATCCGGGGTTCATATTAGACACACGCACGGCTGGCGACTCGCGACGCCTGGCGGCATCTGGTTGTCGCAAACGAGCTTCATCTGCGGCTCCGAGCTGTCCTGCGCTAAGGGCCACCCAAGCAGTTGCACTCCCTCCAATTGGTGTTTTGGATTGGTGGCTTGGTGGTTAAGGACAGCCTCCCATTGACCCTCTACAGGTTCAAATCCCCCAACCACCAATCCAAGCCACCAATTCGGGGATACCTGGCAGTTGGCATCAGCGGCCACAAAAAAAAAAAAAAAAAAAAAAAAACGCAACAGGCCCAGCCAGCCAGCAATGTTTAACAAGCTCGCTCCAGGATCATTCTCGTCGCCTTTCGAGGGGGCAGGGAAATCCTTTCTTGTTGGTGGAAACACCCCAATGAATCCGACAGGTCCAGTCTAAGAGTGGGAGTGCCAGCCCCCATTTCATACCTGGAAGTTGATCCATATTGCCTTCGGCCCCTCTGTTTCACCATGAGCAACTTCTCCCATGTGAGGGGAAATCTCATCTTCGATGTTGTTCCTCCACTGGCCATCCCATGGCTAGGTCCTCCAGCAGAGAGGTTCGAACAAGTTGGTACCCACTTTTTTCTGTAGTCTATTTTAGGGGAACCCAAAATCCCCACCACAAAGGACGAAATCCTGCACCACTTGGAAACCATGGGAAACCATTGTGCTTTGGCATTTACAGGGGAATCATCATTCCTAGGTGTCTAAGGGGATTTCGTCCATCCACAGCATGTGTACCAGACCTTTTCATCAACCCCCCGGGCCTCCGAGCTGAAGTCGGTCACCTGGATCTGGCCTTTCGCCTCGAGGATGGACTTGCCTCGCCTGAGGAAGGAAGGGCCTACCTCGGGCGTCCTTTTTGGATGATGTGAAATCGATGGCATCTGGAGTCTAAGCAAGGCCTGAACATAGGTGTTCTTTTGGAGCAAATAGATGGATTTCCCTGGTAGATGAAACCACCAGATGAAACCAGGAATCGCCATCGAGTGTTCGACGGCAACCACAAAGGACACCTATGCCCGCCGCCCTCACGGGGCGAAAACTCAGCTTTTCGCGATCAAAACAGGGGAAAAACAGGGAACTCTGTGAGCTCTGGACCCGCTTGAGGCGCGGATCTCCAAGGAACGGAACAGGGGAAGCCGGCTTCCCCTTTCCCTCGCGTGGATCTCCATGGGACAAAGCGAGATCCACTTGTTTCTTTGGTGAATTTTTAGATCCCCCCCCCCAAAAAAAAAGATGAAAAGGAAAGTGCACTTCAGAATTGCCCACAGCCTTACCCCCGAAAACCAGACACAGGGGCCCGTATTGGCCAACGAGGACATTCGGCTCGAGGACATCACTCGCAAAATCGAAAGACAGTGAACAAAATCCACCTCGTCTTTGGACCCCCTCCTAAAACCCGTTGTTTCGCCCCAAACAGCGCCGTCCCCCCCAAAGAACCCGAGGCGCTCAATGGGCTGCTCGACCTTCCAATCCTTAGCAAAAAGGCGCGAATGAAGCTCTTTTGGCTGGATTTGAATCAAAGCCACGAGGCAAACTTGAATCCACTTTGGGTGTTTTCTAGGTCCTCCAGTGGAGAGGTTAGAATCAGGGTACCCTTTTTTCTGTTGTCTATTTAGTAGAGGAACCCTCCCCAAAAAAGGGGTAAAAGGGCACTACTGGGGGACCTAGTTTTGTTGTTCAAAAGGCGCACTGGCAAAAGATGTTTCCCAAACACCCACACTTGCGAAATCCTGGAGGGCAGTATGTGGACCCCTGTGCCGGCGGGTGCGCGCGTTGATGGCTTGTGGGCTCAATGTGTCATGGTTCCTCCAGGTTCAAGTCTCACTCCTGTCTGCCGGGTTGCCTGATTGATCTTCGGCTAATCACGTGGCATTCTAAACCTATCCGCCTTGGCTTGTGGCTACCGTATCTAGTAGCTGGGGATTGCTGCCACTTGCCTGGTCCGCCTATAAACGATTATTTCCTTTTTGGTCCGCCATCTGAGCACGACCTGCGCACCAAGTGGCAGGTGCTCAATATCACTGGTGAACTAGGATACGTGTGGGGCAAATCAGACTAAGGCCCATAGGTGGGGCTGTACCTGTGACCCCTTCCCTGGTGTCAAGTAGCAGGTCCGGCAAAATCACAAAAATTGCCCGTTTGGGAAAGAGCAAAGAATCACATGGGCTATTCATCGCACCCACTTCACTTATATCAAGCTCGCCACAGCGCCGCTCCTCAACTCACCTGGACACATCACAAATGCCCAACACGGAAAGCCTTGACAAAACATGCTCCAGAAGGTTTTTGTCCAAAAGGGACAAACCCAAAACAACCGAGGAAGAACATGTTCCAAAAGGTTTGGTCCAAAACTGACAAAACCAAAACAACCGAGGAAGATCCGAGGAAGAACATGTTCCAAAAGGTTTTGGTCCAAAACGGACAAAACCAAAACAACAGAGTCCAACAGGTTTTGGTCCAAAACGGACAAAACCAAACAACCATGGAAGATGGCAAAAGGAAAACGAAAAGGCTCCCCTCCGGGCGCCTCTTGGTACTAAGTTGGTTTTATTGGTAGAAAATCGGAAATCTGTGCTTTGTTTGGCTCTTGTTAAAGATTTGAAAATTGCTTCTTGGTAGCAAATTCAAGTTTTGCTTGGTTCTCGGTAGGAATCCGTGTTCCGTTTAGTTCTCGGTGGGTACTCGACGTTTTTTTCCGAGGTCCAAGGGGCCAACTCCAGCTTCAGCTCGAAGATGGGCTGGGGCTTCCCGGCCTTCACCGCCAGAGCGCAGTCCCCGCGCACCTCCACCCGGAAGAAGCCTTGGCGCGTGCAAGACTCGGGGCCCCCAGATTGGCGGGGAGGGGGGGGGATATATATATATATATGTGTGTGTATATATATATGTATGTACTTATATTCGTATATCATGTGTATATCATGTGTATAAATATATATATATATAGGTACAATGTGTGTGTGTGTGTGCGAGCGTCCATTGACGGAAAAAAGATCCATACCTCCAATCCACTTCTGCCCCCCGGCCCTTGCCGTCCAGTCGGCTCATCTTGGCGCCTTCCGTTCCCTCCAGGGGGATCACCGCGTCTTTGAAGGTTTGCCTTGGAGCTGCGCCCCCCGCTTGCATGCGGCGAACCTGTGGATCCGCAAAAACCTGTGGGAGATTGAAAGAGGACCTCAAAAAAGGACCAGGGGCAAGAACAGGTGAAATCCACGAAAAGCGCATCCAAACCGTTTTCGAGATGCTTGTTTTTCGTGGCCGAAAGATGGACATGGTAAGGTTCGTTTAAGCCTAACCTGTGTCCCAACGAGGTGCAGTTGGGCGAAAGACATCCATGAAAGCTTCACCAAAGAAGAAAGGGTGCCTCTGGACCCTCCCCGCTGATCGCTGTGCCAAAAAATAGGATTGCCGCAGAGTTGCTCCAAACTGACTCTGCCAAACAGTAACAGTGCTGGTGCGTGCGGGCGTCTCAAACATATGGCCATTCTGGTCTTGTTTGACGAGGGAACTGACATGAGAACGACCTCTTGTACCTTGCGGTTGCCCCCTTGGCAAGTTGAACAACATCGGTTTCTCAGCGCCCAAGGTATGCCGCTCGCTCAGTCCCATGAAAAACCAGCCCTTTGTGCCCCTTACCCTTCCGCCAACACACCTGGCTCTGCTTAGCAAGGCGAAGGTAGGCTTCCAAACAAGGTTTGTTGCAGCTCCACGCTTGTTAGTAGGGTGGAGGGTTGGTGGACAGACTCCTTCTTGGGCGCGGAGAAAAGGCTTCAATCGCGGCACGTCCGTCGCGTGGGGATGAGGCTAGCGAAGAGGGGCATGCCAAGCCTACAGCACATGCCACGTCAAGTATTGCCCAGGATGATGAAGCCTCCTTGACTCATTGGCAGGGAGGATCCCCTCCCATTTTGGGAAACACAAGGATACAAATCCGCCGGGTGCAAATGCCAAGTGAGAGCACGCTCCCCTCCCAGACGAGCATCTCCAGAAATCGCTTCGCCCACTCGTCCCGATTCTTCTCGTCCCATGCCATGGCTGAATTCCACCGAGCGGGGTCGGTGGATGGCCACTTTTCAAGGGGACCTTCTTTGACCTGGTTGGATGCAAAATTGTGATTCAGCCAACCGTACGGTTGTGGGTTTCAAGAACCTCCCGTTCGGGAATTATTGGCGAAGCCAGGATCAACAAAAGCATCCCGCAGCTTGAAGTTCACAAATGCCCCAACCTCGAGCCGACCTTGAGTGTCTGCCGGACCATTTGTGAGAGCCCGCAGATCCCACCTGTCACGTGCCATGTGCGATTTGATATTCTGCATCTGGACCCATGCCAGAGCCGGCCGCGATGGATTCGGCAAACTGCGGCGGCAAGACTGACATGGACCCGCGACGCTGCATCCAGAGACACTTCGATATGGTGAACTCGCCAACTCTCGCAGCTCAAGCACATCCAAGCGCAAAAGCCCGAGAAAACCAGACGGTAAATTGCAGGCGGCCCCCTTGGCCCTTGCTCACCCATTTTGGGCATCCACCCATGAGGCATGAGGCGAATTTATCTCCTGGCCCGGGGCCCCGGGGCCCTGGCCAGCTCGAAGTGGTAGTGGTCCACTGACAAGATCACCGCTCTCTCAGAGGTCACCTTCACCGTCCTCTGCCAAGCTTAGTTTCCCCCTGCCACCACACCGGGTTCCTTGGGTGTGTGCGTGTGTGCGTGTCTGTCCCCTTTGAACGTCCCCCGAGCCGAAGGATGTGTTTCTTCGGGTGGCTAAACGGTGATGTTGAAATCACCCAAACTCCCCCCCCCCAACCAAAAAAAAAAAGAGGAACCCAGGAACCCTGCCACCCGCATGCCTGCTTGCCCAGGCAAGGTGTGTTTCTGTCCGTGTTGACTTCCTCACACCTGTGCCATGACTTGCCGCTTCTGGCAGCTTCCCCTGCACATGTCTCAGAAGCACCTGCAGCTCAACCTCCGCGTGGGAATGCTGATTCTGGCAGAAAAAGCACCCGAACTGCGGGTCTGCCTCTCTTCCCAAACCTTGGCATGATCGAAGGACACCGGAAAACCCCTCTAGCAGTTTCTACAGTGAGGATTAGGTGGCCTGCTAAGTTGAGCCAAAGGCTCGAAAAACTTGCTGGCAGACGCCATCCGCCTGTTGGTCGTACTCGACAAATACTCGGTTGCAAACTCTGCTCCGCTCCTAAAAGCTCTTTTAACTTTTAGCGGTTGAGTGGGGAAAACCAATTCATCAGTTGGCAAAAAGTGAAAAAGTCCTGACATCCCTGGGCAAAATGCGCCAAAGCAACGAGATCCATTCTGGGGCTCCCCTTTCAAAAAAAAAAAAAAAGCGCCCACTGGCCCAAGATCATGCTACCCACCAGTGGAAGTCTGCAGGGCCCACCCCCCCAGCCCAGCGTTCGGGGGTCCTTGTGGCCGGGATATTCTCCACCAGCTGGCGCTCCCCCACCCTCGGCCGAGCTTTTTTTTTTCAAATTGCGGGGGATGCCTGCCCTTTCCCCACGTCCAAGAAGAAAAACGGGGAGCCTAAATTACAGGGCTCCCTTACATTATACACCTGAACATTGCCTTGTCAATGGTGGTTTCCCCTCACCTTGGTGGAATAAGCCATGTTTCAAGTGGGCAAAATGTATCTTTTAAGGAGCCCTGCTAAACAGAAGGTCCAACACCCAGAATGGTACTGGCGGCCGAGAGGTCCCACTGCTTCTGCCAGTGCCTGGCAGTTGTGCTTTTGAGGAGCTTTGGTCTTCAGCAACCCCCCCCCCTGCCCGAGGGTCCACGGAGGGACCCGGAGCCTTCCAAACAGGCGGAAACCCGTTTTGCCCTATGGTGGCGTCACCTTTCAGGTTTGAAGCTGGAATCAGCGATGCCTCCTCCCAAAAAAGGAACTGCGGCGTGTGCTGTTTTGAGGGGCGGCCTCCCTCTTTCAGCCTGGTTCAAAGGGAAAAAGCAGCTGAACATCTACCTCCGCGGTCCAGACATCCCACTTCAGAAAACCTTTCGGGCCACATGGAGATAAAACCCCACATCCCCCACAGCCCCCGGCCACTCGCCGTTCATGAGGCCCTTCTTGCCCTGGAGCCGGAGGCCGCCCAGTTCGCCCCGAACCACCCGAACCAGAGATCTCTACTTGGGCAGATTCGGGCAAGGAAAGACGAAATCCATTTTGGGCCTCCCTTGAAAAATGGCGCATCCACTGGCGCCCAAGATCATGTTACCACCCACAAGTGAAATCCTTCAAGGCAATATGTAAACCCCTGCGCACGCAGGCCAGTCAACACCAAGGGGACTCCCCATCCAATTTGGTCCTGTGGCTTGATGGCTCGATTTGGTCAATGTCTCATGGCTCCAGGTTAAAGTCTCAACCTTGCCCTGAAACGATTACTCTTCGGCGTAAGCACTTGACACGGTTGCTTGCTTTCTCAAGCGCTCTCACTAAATTCCTGGCTTCGCCTTGGCTGCCGCCTGGTGGAGTTTTTTCTACTTGGATCTCAGCGTGGCCCTAAACTTCACCGGTAAACAAGCGAGTCGGGGTTTGAGCAAGTGGCTCAAGTCATGATCGAAGTGCGAGGGCGAAAACAATCTGAGATAGGGCCCCTGTGGCAGTGGGGGCGTGGGCTATTGATCCCACCCACTTCACCCATATCAACCGCAACTTCCCCGAAAAGGCTGAGAAATAAACAAAGAATCGAAGCGGAAAGCGATACACCCCCGGCACCGCGAAGCGCTTTCCAAGCAGAAGCTTTCTTGGGTCAGCCCTGCCCCCCGAAAAAGGGGTCTTTCCCGCACCGCGGCCTCCCCCTCGGGCCACATGAAACAACTCTTCGACCGGAAAATTGCGGAGCAGCGACGCCCACACATTGACTTCAATAACAAAAGGAGCACCCCGGTGGACAAGGTGTTGTTGCCCAGTTGCACAGCTCTCCAAGAAGAATCGCCGGAAACTCCTACGCAGCTTCTTCATCCTTTTGGCGTCCCAAAAGCCAAGGACCCCCGCCTCAAAGTCTTCCTCCGCATCGGTCACTGCGCAGGATCCTGCCGCGGCTTCGTTTTTGGACCAAACAGCGCGTGGTAGATTCCCTCCAGAAGTGTCCCAAGAAAGAACAGCTGGAGACTTCCTTTTAGCTTCTCATCAGGCACCCTGTAGGGGCGGTATGCCCCAACCCGACACACGCCTGAGTAGACCAAGAAGAGCACCCCTTGGTCCTCACCTGCCGAAAATCACAGACGCCGGGCGCAACCTGTGTTAGTTGTCCCTTAAGTGGTGGTTTGGTTGTTGCTTGGGGACTTGAAGCCCTAGTTCTTTCATAGGGTATGGGAGACCCTTTTTTTGGAGGGAAGCTGCTTGTGGGGCAAGCAAGAACCGGGGGACCGGGGGCGGTCTCCAGATTGGATCAAACGCATAGGGCTCGCGTGAGGCTTGCTCTCCAAGTGCGTCAAAAGCTTCGGGGCCACCTGGTGAAGCCTCCTCTCTCCTGAACCCTTCAGCGATTGGCTGACCACAGGCTTGATAAACCTAGCATAGCTGTCCTTTTGGAGAAAAACAGATGGGGAAACCCCGGGTAAATGGGGCATAAAACCCATCTAAACCAGTGCCTTCTATTTTCAACCAAACTAACCAACAAAGGACACCTATGCTAACAAGGAGGCCTTCAGGTGTGAGATGGTTGCTGTGAGATGGTTGCTGCTAGGCGGCACGGGTCCGGGCCTTTCACGCACACCACCTCGTCTTCATAGAGCAACGTCTCCTGCCGAAGGCGAAGCCCGGGCAAAGCAGCGCTCGCGGCTCGTGTTGGATCTGCTGTGCTCATTTGCTCATTTGCTCTTCTCTCTCTCTCTGCCGTTGCGTCCAGAGGGTCTTGACTCAAGGCAACAAAAAAGGTGCCCACCTATACTCAGGGACACCCAAAACATACCATTTCAGGCTGCCGGAAGGCGGCGCGCGCATTTTATGTCCCGATTAGCAATGACTGAGAGATTTATTAACAGTCTATATTTTCATCCATCTCTATCACCTAATCTCTTTGCCCTCATTTTGCGGACTCGTTTTAGAACCTGTGCCTGCGTTGCTTTGGAGCCAGGGAACCCAAGAGAACCCTTGAAGCATGGTCCAGGCATGCGCGAATCGACTTCGCCGCTCGCCCAGGCCGGCAGTTGGGGCAAACTCACTCCGACTGAGCCTTGAGCGATGCGAAGGAAACCAACGGAGCTCTAGGCTTGTCAAAGAACACGACTCCAACAGAGACGCGTCCCTTCAAACGTGCTTTGTGCGGAGCCCGCTAAGAAAGACAAGGGGAGAAGAAAAAAATGGAGAAAAAAAAAGAGAAAAGAAAGGAGAAAAAAAAAGGAGGAAAAAAAAACGACGCCAACGCCGAGAGGTGGCGGATCTCTCCCGTGTCAAGCAGTGCGGCCCTATTCCCCGCCTCCACCGACCCGGCCATGACGGACATCAGGGCCCAGTTCACCTGGACAGGAAGCCGGGCTTACATGGCGGCTGAAGAACATGCACCAAGATTTGAACCAAAGACTACCTGCGTCGCCCTACGAGTGCTTCATGTTGAGCATTAAGCAACCGAATGAGTCCAGGGCACTGGCTCGACAGGTGAGAAAAAAAACATACGGCACGAGCCGGCAGTTGCTGCGGACCGGGCAACACCCAGTTCGGCCCATCGCGGGATGGCCATTATAGAACTGAGATAAACCACCTACGAACTGGCGCCTGGCGAAGATTTGGTCCATCCAGGCTGGTTAATACATTCCGGCGTCAAAAGTCGTCCGAAAAGCTAAGCGCAAAAGGTCCGACATAACGAGGATGTCAACATTGCAACCTGCCCAACCGCACCCAAAACGCCACGGCTTGGAGCAACTCAAGCTTTGCGGGCTGGCGTCGCATGTCCCAGTCCAGTCCAGATCAGCTGAGTGCGGTGACCCAGGTGCACGGCGCAGGGGTCATCCTTCGCTTCTCCCAATCAAAGTTGATTCATCCGTCGACGCGCGACCGCCCCCGCAGTCGAGCACGCCGCGTAGACAAAAACCCGCGCCTGCTCCCGGATCGAGGGCACCGAA